CCTAAACCCTAAACCCTAAACCTAACCCCCTAAACCTAAACCCTAAAACCTAAACCCTAAACCCTAAATTATAATTTGTAATTTAAATTATATTGCAAATTTTGCATACAAAAAATTATTAAAAAACTGCGCGGTACAGCCAAAAGTATCTGTTCAAGAAAATCTTTCTAAATATTTGTTAAAAGAGATCCAGATAGTAAAATCATGAAGTCAATATTTTTCCACTTACTATTAACTTTTTTAGTTTTTTCTTGCACATATGCAAGTTTATTCCCAGATTTACGTCAATTAGAAAGTGAAATTCAAGAACTTAACAGACAATTCGATGACTTTGTCGAAAAATGTGAGAAATTAAGTGGTTCTGCTCATATTGGTGAAAATCTTTTAATTATGGCAATTGAACAAGGAGAAAATGTCATGGAACTTCCATTACTGGGGTCATTCAAATCTAAAATACAATGTGGGCATACAAGACTTTTCTTTTTTGATTTTGATAGCGGACTATTCGTTGTTACTGAGGTAAACTGTAAAAATAAGGTTTTATTCGTTAGTGGTGTTCATGGAAAATATGAATTAATTATTAAGGATAATGAACTACTAAGAAAAGAAGCCAAAAATAAGTCAAACATACTCGTAGAAACCAATTTCGTATGTACTACTAATACATACAATTTAAAACAAATATCAAGTTGTCCATCTTATCTCAAAAACTTCGATAAAAATATGATACCCAAAAATTTCAATATTAAGACTGACCAGAGTCCTCTTTCAACCAATGATCTTTCTCACAGAGGATTTTATTTCACCAACTCTAGAAAGGATCAAAAAACAGATTCTAGAACTGAATTAACATATGCACTGTTTTCTTCTGACCCATTAAAATATGCTATACCGATCCAAGAAGGATGCGAATGCACTGTGGAAAATAGTAAGATTCTTCTCTGTGTATGCGATGGATTTTCCTATAAATTTGATGTAGAAAATAGTTTCTTAGTTGTTGGTCCTGTCAAATTACTTACAAATAATGTTTATGGCTTGAAGGTATTAACTGCTAATACCAACACAGAATTATTAAGTAATATTGATATTACAACTCAAGAACAGAATGAAGCGAAGCTTGAAACTCAATTGTAAATGAAGTTAGATTATTCAATTACAGTTCAATAAAAAATAAAGCTTTGTTTTTCTTTTATAATTACTGTTCTAAACATTTAAAAGCCATTATAATTATATTTACTAAAAAACTTGATAAGTATTGGAATTATCATTTTCCAAGAGATGTTTTTCAATTAATTAGATTTTATCCATAATTTAATTTTAATACTAATTTAAACATCCTATTTACGTAAAATTTTTATAACTATTCCTTTATCAAGTGTAGTAATTGGCTTCCCAATGGTTGAAAAATTTGGTTTATTTATTATCTAGATCCTGCTAGTGAGGTGTTTTTAGAGTTTGTCTAACTTTATATTTTATGTTCGTTCATCTTTATATGCCTTTTTTCAATTATAATCATCTATTTCCCATTTAATTTTCTTTATTCTTAATTACAAATTAGTTTAACTACGATTTTATTTCATTTAATAATTAATAATGGAATATATTTTACCATATCTAGTCTATTTGTATTGCAGATAACATTACTATTACTATTATAACTCTATAATAAATCTATTTTGTACTAAGATTTCTCATAATTGTCTAAAATTTCATTATTGTAACCATTCTATAAATTTATTTTCTTTAGAATCGTTTTTTATGTTATTTTAATATAATAATAAAATGGATTAAAATAATCATTATAAAAGCCAAATAAAAGAATATTTTGAACAAAACTTTTGAAAATGTATTCTTAAGATTTCTCAAATAAGCTTTTTTCTCTGAATAAATAGGTTTTAGCTTCTTTTTTTTTTTTTAACCAAAATTTGATAAATATGTTTCCAAATATTTTTATTGGTAGCATAATACGGACTAAACTTAAAGTTAGATCATAAAAAAATAATAAAAGTATTACAATAAAAATAAGTCATAATAATACAAGTTTCAGAATTTATTATTACTAATTATTTAGTTCATTTATTTTTATTAATCATTTTTTTTCAAAAAAATTTACAAAAGAATTCAGAAATGACAAAATTTATCAAAATAATATAAATTATTCCATTATCATAAAAATTATTGCATCACTCAATTTTACTTTAATATAAGTCCTTAACGTAATATTATATTTCACTTAAAAATCCTATTATCCAAATAATTCATTAATTTTATTCCTAAAACTCACATTTTTATTAAACTTCATGTTTCATACTTTTAACAAAAATCATAAAATATTAACGTCTGAAAACGTATTTATTAAGTTCTTTTAGTAACTAAATTTTTTAAAAATAGTCTTAATAATCTAATATAGATTAGTAATTAATTTTAATAATATTCTATTAAAATACTAAATTATAGCATGTAAAACCATAGACAATATATTTTATTAAAATATTTTATTTTTAATTATAGAATCAAATAACACCTAAACTTTTTTAGTTTTTAATAAATAACCGAATTATTAATTAATTATATTCTAGTGTAATTTTTAAAATGTATTAAAAATAAATTGTGTATATTGACCATTTATTCTCTTTTTTATTTGCATTATGTTATCTAAAAATCGTAACTTTTTTGACATAATTCAAATAATTTGTGATCTCCAATATTTAACTCGTAACTATTCGTACGAATAACATTATTATATATGGAAATTCCCAAAAACTACTTCAAAATTTTTATTTGTTTTGTTAATATAAAAATAACTATTAATATATTAATCAAATTAAAAAAATGACAAATTTATGAATTATTTTTAGTTCATATAATTCAATAATTGAGTTATTATACTCGATAAAATATAAATTTTAATATTAAGAGCTTATAATTAAATACATAAGATATACAAATGAGGAGTATTTAATGTACTGAAAATATTAAACTAAGTTCATTTTATTATATACCACTTTTATCAAGTATATTGTATTCATATAAAAGTTGAAAAAAAAAAATACCACAATCTTTAAAATCATTTAGATTTTTATTGTTTGATATTCACATTTAACAGAAATTTTATATACAATCCATGATTTTTTTTAAATCTATTTATGTTTGATCTATTTGAATCACATTTTCTGAAATTAATTACTAAAATGATTTATGCAGGTAATCCCTTATATTTATATAAACACAAAGAATCATCATAAAAGAAAATATGAAAAATATTAACAGTTTTACAATTTTAACAGAAAATTACTAAATAAAATTCGTTTTAAAAATAATATATGAAATTAAATAATTAGAAAATTAAAAGATGAGTTTAAAAGGAAAAGTGGTTATTTATATTGAAGTAAACTAATTTTCATTAAAATAAAATATTTACTAAACTTAAAATTAATAAAAAAAACCTTGGTATAAAAATAATGACGATTTTTTTGTTTTTAACTTATTTGTATTGAATTAAAATTATCATAATAATAGTAAATTTGTAAATTGGTCAATACTTGAAGTAATCTATCAAAAAAAAGTTGAATTTAATCCAATATGGTTCGTTCCAATTCACAAAAATAAATTAAATAATAGATTTTTTATTTTAAAAGTTGGCAATTCAAAAGAGTTGAAATTTTTATTTTTCAAATATTTTTAGACTCACTATAATGCAAGCATTATAACAAGACTATTTATTGTATCAGCCCCTAATTTATTACAATTGAAATCAAAAATCTTGAACCAAAAACATTATAAATAATTAAAAAAACCCATTTAAAAATATATTAAAATATTAAGATATTTTCTATTCGAGAAGTGGCTTAAAAAAAATTGTTTTCATTCTTGTTTGGGTTATAGTGTGGAATAATTATTATTTTAAAGATTTTAATATTACATTAAGACAAATAAATTGCCTCACAGACATAAATTAAAATATTTTAAAATTTGGATTTCAAAAGAAATAATATACTGCATTTTAAAGATATTTTACTTAAATTATTTACCAGAATTTTTTAATTATAGATTTTAATAAAAATTATAACTATTCAAGTATAAATTCCCACTAATTATACGAAAAAAATATATTCTTCAAAGGTTACTCTTTAATATTCAGATAAGTCAACAAATTAAATGAAGTTTTCTAAATCAACACTATTATCTGTGAATATTCAACTGCTAAGATAAGGAAACAAACACAAATTTAAAGGACTATCTACTAAAATAACTGCTGGAATCATCAATTCAATAATTTACTCATCTTATTAACTGCAATTAATAACATTAAACCAATTTTTTTTTTCTTGCTCTTAACATTGTTGGCAATTACCATAAAACTAACATGATAATATGCCTTTCGGTATGAAATTATGTGATATTCAACTATATTAAAAAATGAAAACAGATCCATTCGAAAATTCCGGCATTATTTGTATTTTTTACTTACTATTCTTGATACATGTCTTGGTGGATCACATTCTTCATGCTTCATAAAATTGTTACAAGTAGCACATATTAAAGTATTATCTCTATTCGGTTCTAAGCAGCGCACACATGGATCACCTAATGGGCATCTTGATGCTAGATATCCTCTCCCAGTAGACCCTTGTGTAGACACTCCACTTCGGGATGAACTTGGAGGTGCTTGATATCTTGGAGTTGGATGTTGTTGACGTGGATCTGGAGTTCTAGATTGCTGACCTGAATTTGATTGTTTTGAGGCTATTTTTATTTTCGAAGCTGTTAATTTCGGATTTGGTCGAGTAGTTCTGGGTGGTTGATTCAGATTTACCTTTAAGGTTGATGTATAAACACCTGGAGTTTGCTCTTTACCACTTTTTGGACTGTGCGATCTAGGAGTTTTTGGGCTCTGTGACCTGCTTTTTCTAAACCTTTGGGACCCAAAACCTTCTGGACTTGAAGATGGTTTACCTGAACTTGATTGCTTTGAGGCTATTTCAATTTTTGAAGCTGTTAATTTCGGATTTGGTCGAGTAGTTCCGGGTGTTTTATTCAGCTCTACCTTTAAGGTTGTTGTATAAACACCTGGAGTTTGGCTTTTTCCGCTTTTTGGGCTAGGTGATCTGCTTCCTCCAGAACTTTGAGGCCCATGACTTTCTGGACTTAGGCGTTGTTGGCCTGGAGTTGAAGAACCAGCAGAGCCTGATTGTTTCGAACCAAATATGGAATCCAAAGCTGATCTATAACCCATAGTTAATAAATCTCCGGAATACGGTGTACGAGGAGGAGCTGGTTTTGGTGTTGACCTTGAGAATTGTGTCAAGCTTGAAGATTTGCTAGTTAATGGATTTGGTGATCTGCTACTTCCTGGGCTTGATGGCCTGCTACTTCCTGGGCTTGATGATCCGCTACTTGTACGGCTTGACGGTCTACTACTTTCCGAAGATGAAGTTGGTTCTGGAGATTCAGGAATAGTAGGTAGAGATGGAGTAGCCATAACTTGTGGAAAAACTCTTTTTGGTAGATGTCTAGGTGGTGTTTGTAGTGGCCGTGGTGTTCGTTGCGGAAATGGTGTTCGTTGCGGAAATGGTGTTCGTTGCGGAAATGGTGTTTGTCGTGGGTATGGTGTTCGTTGTGGAAATGGTGTTTGTCGTGAGTGTTGTAAAGAACCACTGCTTGAAAAAATTCCTGAATACGGTCTACGACTAGGTAAATTTGACCGACCTTGAAGTCCAAATAACCCTTTTCTACTCGTTCCAGCACTTTTATTATTATTAAGATCATCATTCTCATTTGTACCTTTAAGTTTGATAAAAGAGGAACAAAGTGGCTGAATATAATTTGTCCCGTTATCCAAGTAGCCAATATCATGAATAACCAAGAAATCCCATAACCCAAGAAGTTTAATGAATATAAAAGTGAGAACTGAGTAAGTAAACGAATTCATATTTATATTGGCTAATATTAAATAATTCTTAATAATTATCTAAATAAAAATATTTTTGCGCGGAAAAGTTACCTTTAAATTTGAAAAAGATACCTTTAAAATACGTAGAGATCGTTATTTAAATTGTTTTTGAATATTAAAAACTTTGGCAATAATGAATTTTTACATTATCTTGGGATTTTATTGAATTATAACGATTTATTAGAATATCTTAAGCTTGCTAATGATTACTTTTCTATTGTTTTTTTAACGAATTGATACGAATTATTTAGTATACTGAACTTACATAACTTCATTTGATTCTGAATTGGTATTATAATCCGTCTTCTATTGTAAAGAATTAAATGATAAATTTTAACTTTCTAAAGTCAAAAAAATGTATTCTTTACATTCCACTAAGCCATTTAACTATCTAATTCAACTATACTTTTGTTGATAGTAATGCTATGAAATATCCAATCTAGTAATAGCTGAATTATCAAATTGAATATTTTTTTTTGTATTATAGACTAAAAAAATAATTAAAAGTCGTATTCATAATTTACATTTTAAATTTACGAAAAATTCTATTAAATAAAATACTGGAAACTTCTAATTCATCTCGATAACGATTCTGATAAAAGTACCGTCAACTGCCCCTAATTATTTATAACCGTAAATTCTGATATTAGAACATAGTTATATCTATCTAAATAAACAAAAATATAAATAGCCCAGAATTTTAACCTTTATATTTATCACTATCCCCGATTAATACATAGGTAACAAATCATTTCGATTAATATATTAATAGTAATTTTCAAGCAGCTCATTTCAAATTTTCCTTAAAACGAAATTTTCTGATATCTAAATGTCCAAAAATAACTAATAAATATTTTCGTCTATTGAATCATAAATGTCTATTTTGTCTATTTATGTCTATTTATGTAATTTATATTATTGATTGTTATGTCTCGGCCCTTTAATATGAAGTTCAAATAATTGATATAAAATTAATTTCTTAATTATTTGATTACATTAAAAATATAATCTTTAGGTATTTGTAATTCAAAGCGTACTTAATAGAATAATCAGAAATTTAGGTCATTCAACTCTTAAATCTTTTTTTCTTTTAGAACTAATTTACGTTGAATTATGTTGTTTTTATATTTGAAACTATATCTTTGTGATTTTTTACAGTTGATTATTATACTTGTCTTACCTGGCTAAATCACTTAAAAGGTTCTTTATTAGATTTCTGTAATTTTTAAATGATTAATTGCTAGGTTACCGATATTAAGTTGATTTATTTCTTATTTACCTAAAGGTAATACTTTTCAATATAACGATATTATCTCTACTACTTGTCTTTTTCCCTTCCAAATTTGCACATTATTATCTTTTTCCTCTCCAAATATCTCAATACTAATGCTTTCAGGTTCATTTTTCGTTTAAATTCTCATTAAGACTCTAATTACCTTAACATTTAAAACTTTTTAATTTCTTGTCAAGTTTTTATTTCCACAAAATCACTATGTTATTCAATTTCTTCAAAAAAGTTTATATTTTAATTCAATAAGACTATTTTCAACAAAAAATCACACAATTAATTAAAACAATATATAAAAACTTAAATGCGAATGAACAATGAATATCTCAAATAATCAATTGTTTATATTTGAAATTTAAAACAACCTTTTTTTTACAAAAAACCCCACTGAAGACATAAATAACTGAAGGATAATCACTAGTTGATTATATAGCAAACAAATTTACATTAAAAAGCCATAGTTTTTTCTTTATAATCAGCAAAAATTAGATTCAAAGCATAAATAACTTTAAAGAAAAGGGTAGTGATTCCTAACTGACTTAATTCAAGTAGTTATTTGTATTTCAACTGTCGTATTCATAAATAAAACACAATTAAAATACTAATACGCCCGAAAACTGAAAATATTTAGAATCTTAAAAAATTTAACTTTGTACAAAAAAAAACCCATTTATAATAATTGGAATTAAAAAATTATTTATTTCTTTGAAATTCAATATTAATATGTGGCATAAGATACTTGAACAAAGAAATATCTTAACATAAGAAAAATATAGAAAAGAGTTCATTCTAGAATGAGCCTTGTAATAAATTACACAGATACTGATATTAATTTTTAAAATGATCAAATTTAATAGTTGATTGAAAAAAAGTAATTTAATGCAAGATTTAAAAGACTTAATTATCAACCCTGCAATTTATTTGAGTAATTGATAAGAATTAATAAACAGCTTTAAATACACCAAATAAACTATTTTTTTATTGTGTGCATAAAAATCGTTATAAACTGAATATTGCACATAGTATTCTGGTTATACTTAGAGATTACATTTTAAATCAATATTAATCAAAAAATAAATTATTAATACCACTAGGCCATATATATCTTTTTGTTTTCAGCTTTTGGAATGAAAATTTTTATTATCAATTTTTTAACTCTTCATGTCTAGAATTAAAACAAATATCTAATAAATTCAAGGTATAATTGTTATAATTTAATCTCTATAATCATTCAATTTTTTTAAGTGTAATAAAAATCCACTAACAAATAATTGCTTGTTAAGATGCCAGTCATTCAATATAAAAATTGAAATACTGTCAATAATAGTACAAATCATGTTCAAAAAAGAAATAGAAACAAATTCCACTTGTTTGGAGTAAATGTCAATACTAGGATGCTTCTAAAAAATTTCCAAAAAATTAGATCAACACTATTAAAAGTTATTAGTATTAAGAAAAAAACAAGGCGTTTTAAACATCTATAATTAACGTAAGTATCAAAAACTATCGATTCAATTTGTTTGAAACACAAACTAAACAATATAATGAATTATTCGAAAAATAATTCAAAACAATTGATACATAAGTACCGCAAGTTTCATAATAGCAGATCTATCAAATCCATAATTACAAACTAGAAAAATTATTTATATTAGCCACCTTATAACCCATTATTCATACACAATTCTTAATTGCCACCAATCAAATTTTACCATTGCTTGCATTAAAAAAAAATCCATTCGAGTATAGATAATTCATTTACTTGATTATTCATTAACACAAAAAACTTAATCATATAAAGCACCATTCAGTTTTAATGCTTATTAATTAATAATGCATGCATCCAAAAAACGATTAACACAAATTCCACATTCAAAATTGTGTTTCCGACACTTCACCTTCTCTTCTTCGTGCTCTATTACGGCGATTACCGTTGTTCCTTGTAAATCGGTTTGCCACTCTTCTACAAGTTCTTGAAATAAGTCCGGTAAATCGGCCAAAGCAACCTGCAGTTCCCCTGGTTTCGGATGTAGTGGTAGGTAGAGACTTAGCCAAAGTGTGCCTTTGAATAGCTTTTTCTAGTTTAGTCTCTAAATGCTTGCACTTCTTTTGTTGAGCAAGAATAAGCTTCTTTAAACCTCCTGCTTCACTCTTTAGAGTGCTTAGCTCTACTTTAAGATCTGAAGATTTGCTTGATTCACCTTCATCACTACTTTTAAAAACACCCTTAATACCTGATTTAGCGCCTTCAGTTTGTGAAATCTTTTTTCTCTGTTCGTCAATTTGATAATTTTTATGATGCAATCTATTATTCAATTCAGTTAACTCCGACCTGCACCTTTTCAGATCCATCTGCGTTCCCTCGACAATCAAAGCAAGCATACGTTGATCGCCTCTTTTAATTGCGCAGAGTGGCTTATCCATAACATCTTCATCTTCAAGTACATTAATTTGCTCATGAGTACGTTCTCTAAAGATAGAAGATTCCATTTTCGAACATTTTCTCTCAATTTTTTCGTATTCTTTAGTAGTATCCTTAATATCCTTTGCAAGTTTTTCACATTTTTTATTTTGCTCTTTTACTTTATCTGCCAATTCTCGTCTTTCATTTAAGCACTTATCAATTTGCTCTTTTAGTTGCTCACAATATTCATTTCCAAATACTTTAGGTTTGTATTCATCTTTACAGTATTGTTCATAATCTGCCATTAAAGAACCACAGAGATTCCATTTACCAGAATACTCGTCTTCCAAATGGGTTAAAGTTTCCATGCAAGTCTCGTACTTTTCAGTTGCCTGAGTCAAGGCAGATCTTGCAGTTGAAAGCTCGTCAAGACAAAGTCTGTATTTATCTTCTAAAGTGAAACCTGCAAGCCCAACTAACCCACGAGATAGGGAAGCTGAAGATTGAAGAGTGAGAAACGATAAGAATTGAATATTAGTGTTGGCATCAATGTTGAGGTAAAGCAGAACATGAAGTAGAGCGAATAAATAAAACAGTCCCTTCAGCATACTTAATTCATTTAAATATAGCATACTGTCCTTTGAATATAAAAACGCTGAAAAATTTAATTTATAAATAAGTTTTAAATTATGATATTACAAATATTACGAATGAATAGTCATTACTGACCAAAAATGGAGAATAGAAGTAACCGCCTTGATATCAAATGAAGTAATATTAAAAACGCGCAATTTATTGTTTTAAAGCGGTCCAAACTATTAAAGGAATCTGTCTCTGTTTAAAAAAATAAACCATAAGCGCTTTATTTTTTCTGCCATTAAATTGGATGCTAATGAATCTTCATTTTAGTAGGCTTAAACTTTATGGTATAGTAAAGCAGATAAAAGCCGAATTTCTAGAATTTTACCTGTTTTTGAGTTGGATTTTTTTTTTAAAATTGAAAGTCAGCTTAAATATATTTAGAGATTAATTTGCAATATTTCCTTGTACAACTTATGAAACATGTGCTTTGAAATCTTCGATTGATCAAAAATTTTACATATCATTAAAAAATGGCTTTATTAAGGTAATTTTACTATTTACATTTAATAATTAATTATACCAAATTCACTAATTTGCCGCCATCAAATTATAGCTGGTTAAATTTTTTTATTCTGGTGTTTGGATCTAAGGGCTTTCTTTATTACCACTCGGAGCTATTTTTCTCTGAATTAAAGCTGAACTTTAATTCGAAAAGATGCTTAGCGTGAAACATAATAATTAATGCCAGAAGTTATTAAATTCCTAACTTTACACATTTTTATTTACTCAAACATATTTATTAATTAGTCAAAAATCGTATTGCTTTTCAAATTACTGCTTAAATGTATTTTTTTATTTTTTTTCTTTATTTTTGAGCAATATTAAAAACTTAACAAACAATTTAATGAATGACTTTTCTAATAATTTAATAAAAAAAAATTCTTTTCCGTTTAAATTAGGAACAACTTCCAAACTTAATTCTTGAATTGTATTACCACAAATTTCCAATGCAGTAACAATTTCATTTTCAGTAGATTCTTCATTAACTGTGGAAAGTTCTGCTAATTGGCATTTTAAACTAGAATATTTTTCTTCATAACAGGCAAAACTATCGCTCTTTGAAACATTTTCACTAGAAAAAAAATATTTCATAAACTTTGATTTACCAGTAGATTGACTATTTTCCTGGTTACCAAAAGCTGATGATTGAGAGAAACTAAAACCATCAAATGTTAATGTTAACTCTTTTTCAAGTACATTTCTAGATCTGCTTCTAGATCTACCTCTAGATTTGCTTCTACTTATTAATCTGCTTCTACTTTTTGATCTGTTTCTATTTCTAGATCTGCTTCTACTTGATGTGCTTCCACTTCTTGGTCTTGATATTTGGCTTGGATCATTTCCTGATGAGCTTCTATGTCTTCTTACTGGAACTGATACTCTTGATGCAAAGAACTCAGCTGTTGAAACCCTTGGGGCGCTTTCTGGAACTTCATCAGCTCTTCTTCTCACCCTTCCACCTACTCTTGGAGTTGTTCCTATATCCTCTCTAGAGGCCTCATCTGAAATTGAAATAGAAGAAAACTGTTTTGAAAGATTTTCTTCTTCACTTTCCTCTTTTTCAATCTCGCGATTTATTAAGTCAAGAACAAAATAAATTAACGAAGATAAATTTGTATCTTTTTCAGCTTCCTTAAAAAGCCCCTCTATTGAACTTATTGAATTTACTAATCTATACATGAAATTACTATGTTCCATTTTATCCAATCTTTCTTTTTCCATTTGTTTCTGTCTTTCCCTTTCATTCTCTCTTTCTCTCTCCTCAATTTCTCTTCTATTCTCATTCTTGTCTTTTCTATCTTTTTGTTTCCTTTTTTTCGTCGAAATTGCAACCGTTTTTTGTTCTTGAATAACCTTCTTTATTATTTCTTTTTGGCAAGACTTTTGCTCTTCTTTTTGAAGCTTTTGTAATTTCAATGCTTTTCTGTTTATTTTTGGTTTACAAGTTTCATAAGAAGCACTAGATGAAACTTCTGGATGGGGTGAATCTTCACTAATATTTTCAAGACTAGTATTTATAGCTTTTTCTAATCCACTTGAACGATCTGAAATATCTTCTAAAATAGGGAATTTTCTTCTAAACTTAGTTTTTTTTTTATGTTCCTTCCTTTTCTCGCTCATTTTTTTCGCTTCTTCAAATAGCTCTTTATTTGCTTTTTCCCGTTCATCCTTTTGTTTTCTTTCTATTTGTTTTCTTATCTTTTCTTCCTTTTTCAAATCTTCAGCTTCTTTTAATTTAGTCTGTCTATACTCCTCTTTCTTTTTAAGAATTTGACTTCTTGCCGTGCTTAATTGTCTTTGATATATTTTTTCTTCTGATAAAGCTTCGACTAATTTGATTTCTTGGGCGCATCTTTTAGTTATATAATCACACAATGATTGTGTAACATCAACTGCATCCTTGAAAGCATCTAATCCCGTAGTTTGAAGTCTTTTTAATATTACAAAGAGTGCAACTAAGAACCTGTAAATATTTTTTAAATTCTGAATTATCATTTCCTTTTTTATTATAGTATCAAACGTCTCAGAAACAAAATTATATGATTGAATTTTTTCGAATTTCAATAACTCCCTTGCTTTCAAATTCATTTCTAAACGTTCTTGTTCTGATAATTCAGAGAAATCTACTTTTGAAAACACTTTGTTTAGAATTTTTTCTTCTTTCTGAATATGCTCGTGTATTTGTTTGTATTCTTGATTATTAAACAAAAATACTACGAATGAACATAATTGTACAATTGAAAAAGTCGTTTTTAATATAGCTTTTAATTTATAAATATTTCTAATTCGTAAATTCGGTTCACACAAAATCATTTGTTCAGATTGAGCATCACTTGAATTTGAAGTTTTTTTATCAAAGTCTTCACTGGCTTTTTCTTCAAAAATAGAGTCAAGTGATATTTGAGAAATATAAGCTTTGTTTAAAATATATTTTCTTGAACGTTCTTTTCTTGATAAATTTAAATAAAGTTTAGAAAAGGTTTCTAATGCCTTTTTACATCCATTCAAAACATAGATTAGTGAAACAGAAGCGCCCTCTGAAAATCTATCTACTCCTTTATCCATTAAAGTTAAGAGTTTATCAAGACTTAGAATAATCTCTTCCTGTAACAAAATTTCATTCTCTGCTATTAAATCAAATAATTTAATAGAATCAAGATTCAATAGATATCTCACTTTTTCTTGAAGATCTTGATTTTTATTTTTTGATAATTTGCCAATTTCTTCCATTTTAGATTTTGAAATTATTTCATCTTTTCCATCAAATAAAGAATTCATATTAATACTAACTATAACATTTTTTGTAATTAAATACTCAGAAAGTGACTGCGCTGGATTAAATAAAGAAGCTAACTTAATAATTGCCACTATGTATAACAATGACTCTTTTATAATTAACTCTACAAATAAATTACGTTCAAAAACACTGGTTTCAAGTGCACTAATTTGGACGTAAGTAGGGCTACTCATATCAACACGATGAACAACTTTCTCATCTTCGAATGATTCATTCTCGTCATGATCATTTGCCTCAGCTCCTTCAATTGTAGGAATATATTCAAAAAGACAAAAAAATAGAATAATAAATGTAATTATGCTAAATTTTAGATTTCTCATTATTACCAACTTTATTACGAACTTGATAATTTACTAAACATCTTCTAAAGAATTCTAATTTTTTTAACAAACCTGTCACATTGGTTCTATTTTTTTTAGCGCCAACTAGTTTTTTATGGATTATTAATACAAAAATAACTAAATGTCATTAATTAACTATTAAAAATACATACGTTTATTCAATTAATCAAACATTATTAAAAACCTAAAAAAATCTTGAATTTTTATCTAAGATTTTGTTAAATTCTAATAATTTGAATATTCTGATTCTAACCTAATTTAATGAATATAGATTTTTTGTTTAATATTAGTTCATTATTTCTTTATTAAAATTTATTGAATTTTTTAAAATTAGAGAATTATTTTAACAGAAGAAAATGATTAGTTATTTTATTTTTCATCATTCTCTATCTGAGAGAATCACTATTTAACCTAACTTATTTAATTGATTTATTTGGTAGGTTAGAACTTTCCATCTTTAAACATGTATTATTTACATACTAGTTAGTTTTTCTTTGTTATTTTTGTTAATAAAAGACAGATATGATAAAGAATTATGTTAATGTTCTTGTTTTTTATGCACTTATTTTACTATGAATTTTTTTTTGCATATATATTAAGTGCTTTTCTGAGTATTTTAATTAACTTCCTTAGCTTACAAAATTTTCAATTCTTTGATTTAGTGTGATTTCCTAATAATAAAACCAATTAAAGTAGATTTTTCAGAAATGTTTTAAAAAAAAACTCCTTTTTAATTTAAAATTTTCTAATTTAAGAGTAATTTTTATCATTACAATTTTTATCTAAGTCCTTCTACTTGTCATCAAAGTCACGTAAATACAAGAGTGAAGTTATTGAAAGTGACTTAACTTTTAGATTTTAGTATATAAATTAACTTTTCTTAACCTTTTACTTAATAATTAACCTTGAAATTCTTTTTGACCTAAAATTTGGCCTGTATTATGGTTTAAAATTACTGATTAATCTGAGACTTTTATTCGATCTAGAACTATTTCCTGTTCTTTTTATGAATACAGATTTCTTTATTTCTTTATAAAAAAAACTATTTGCAAGTTTAGAGTCAAGAGTTCAATATTTAACTGAAAAATTGTTTATCTAACAAATTATGTTAATTCTTGCAATAGGATTTCTAAATTTTAAAAGTTACCTTTTTTCTTTGCTCAGATAATAATAAAAAATCAACCTTTTTGTCACAAAAAGTTTTTAAAAAATTTTATAAAATGACTAAATAATTCCAAAAATTTTAAATTTTTCTTCAGTTAATATTTTCGAAGAAAAAATACAAAATAAATCAAAACTTTAGATTTTTTTTTGAGTTGTTTAGTTTCCTTTACAGTTATTGTATTTATTCAATTTCATAAAAAAAAATATAACTTTAAAAATTTTCTTCCATGTTTACATTTCTTTCTCTTCTATTTTTATCCTTGTTTCTTCTTGTTTCCTTTTTTTTCAAAAAAAAAAACTAAGATTTTTTGTTTTAAATGGATTTTTATATTATCTCTTTAAAAAATTTCTACTTTTTCTATTTTTTTTTTAAAGCTTTTATAATTTGTTGTTTTCTAATAACTTTAGGTTTTAGAGCCTCATCTACTTGCTTAGATTATTCTATGTCAGTTTTATTTAAAAAAAAAAAAAACAATATATAACTTTTTATTTACTACTTTTATGTGGTTAGTAGGTTATTGAATAAATATTCTAACTTGACCGTTGCCTTAATTTTTTTCCCTTTATTTAAAAGTATTTTTATGAAACTTTTGTCCCTCTATTTTAGTTAGTTTTCCTATCCTTAATTTTTTTTTCAAGTACATTCTTTTGAACTTTCTCGATTTGCTTGTTAAACTAAAGTCAATATTTGTACACCTAATACAATAGTATTCATAATTTCTAAAAAAAAAAATGAGTATTTTTTCTATATATTTCTTTGTTACTTTTCTGATTTTCGTATATTTTTATAGAAATTTCCAAATTCGTAAGCAGCTTTTTTTAAAATTAGTTAATCAATCTTTATTTTTGAAATAAAATTGATTCATGGTAGTTATTGCATTCTTAGTTCATAAACTCTATATTTCTAGCATATAAATATAATTTATTAATTGTACATGTTTTTTTTTATTTAAATATAACTCAGTATCACTCATTGCTATTAATTTCTCTTTTAGCATAAAAGCTTTCGCAGATATAACTAAATCTAACACACCAAAAATTTAAAACGAGATTCGTATATATAATTAATAGTAATTTTACTTTTAATCTATTTTTTTTATTTAAATTGTCATAAGAATTGTAAATTTTGAAATAGAGCATTGCTTGAAATTATATATTGAAATTAAGTTTAATCTAATAAGGTTAATTTCAACATATAATAAATTAATAATAAATTCTTGACTTAAAAAATTGATTTCCAGAATTAGAATTTTTTTGTCTAGAATTTTGAGATTCATTGTAATAGAAGTATTTAAATAAGACCAGTTGTTGTATTTTGTGTCAGCCTCTAATTTGTTATAAGTGAAAGAAAAAATTTAAATTGAACATCATAAATAAAAAATGTTTCATTCAGGATTTTTTTTGTATTCATTTGTTAGGGTTTATTTAAATATGTTTATGAGGGAAAGAAAATTTCAAAAAAGATGTCAAAAAAGTAAATTCAGGAAGTAATATTATCAATGCATCCAAAATATACCTAGAAACTATAATTTAAATTATTCATATCTACTGAATATGTTATTTTAATTATTCATTTGTGAATATAGTGATACAAGATAATATTATTTAAGAATTTTTTAACCTTGAAAATTTTTTATTCAGTATTCAAAAAAATATGATACTACATAAATTAAATTATTATACACAAAATTTGTTAATCAGTCAAAAAAATTGAAATGTAATTAATTTTTTTTTTCATCAGATAATTTGAAATTCTTTAAGATATTGTTTTCAAATCAGATATATTATTCCAACTTTTCAAAGAAATTATCAATATTTGGTTATTGAGATCAAAATGGATCTAAATTCAAAATTAATCAATATCGAAACTTGTGCTTATTCTACAAGTAAATTACTCTTTAGTATTGCCTGAATTTAAAATATTTTTGGTGGATATTTTATATAGTTTTACGTACCTCTGTACTATACAATTTAAAACAATCAATTGGTTGCTTTTGGCTAAACGATTTTTTGGTTACCTTTACATCATATAGATTTCCAATTCATATTAATCAAATTAGATTATTTTTAGGAATTGTAATACTTATTAAATGATAACAAGAACAATTTGTTGAAATTAAATTTCTTAATTATACCATATTATTTAAATGAAATAATGAATGAAGGAATAAGATAAATGATGCTATTAATAATTATTAGAATACAGGTATAATTCACAAATATTAAGTGAAAATTAAACCTAACACCAATATAAGGGTAGTAATTAAATAATTCATTATTAAATTACAGCAAGCAATAAATTAAATAAATTTGAATAGAAATAAATATAATTCTAAGCAAAACTACTACATTAAATTAAATGAGTTTTTCTTGTAAAAAAAAACAATAAGTGAATAAAACTAATTAGCATTTATAATGTACTTATACTATCTTACTTAATCCATATATTTTCATGAGAGTACCAGGATGAATTTAAGTAATTAAGTAACTATTAAATACCATTTTTATTGTGTAAATACATGAATATAGTTAAATGTTTATAGATAAAAATATAATATAAATAATCTATTATAATCCTTTCAATTAAAAACTATCATCACTGAAATAATTAAATATTAGATTTTATAAAAAATATAAGCCATCACTCAAAATACTTTTATATTAAACATTTTAATATAATCCTTAAATATCTTGAAAATCCAAATCATTAAAAATATTGCAATTACAAAATTTATTTATTTAATATTTTTTTAAAATAATTTTCTTATAATTTGAAAACAAATTTTAATTTATTTTGCAATTAATGTTGAAACATACCAAAAGTAATTGGAAAAACTATGAATAAATTAATTAAAAATGTTAATTTAGAACATAAATTATAAGAATATTTTTGGAATGATAAATATTTGTCTTGTATTCAATTAAATTAACTTCGTATAACTGCGTTCTTTTGTTTAAATCAAATAGTTGTGCGTAACTTATTTCATTGATTCAAATAGTTAAATTTAAATGGATTTAGCATTACCGTTTTAGTCAAAGCCTAGAAAACAGTTTAATTTGTTCAAAGTATATTCAAATAATCTTCTTGATAAAACCAATCTAGGAGTTTCATTCAATTTTGGAAACCAGCTTAATGTGCATATACATTGGTACATAGAAAATTCAAAAAAAATCCATAAGTTATTTTAATCTACAATAAGATGTCTAACTTTAAAACAAAGTATAATCTATTCGTAGCTTAAGGATTCAGTTCATAATAAACGTTGGCACTCAATTAAATAAGATTCATTTCAGACCATCAAAATACAAAATTAAAAGAAACAGTTAAAATTCAGCCAAGTTCTATTATATTCCAAATTTTTGAGTTTACTGGATAAATGTCTCCAGACTTTAGCCCAGCTATATAGGATCTGACTCTCTATAACTAAATTAAAAGCCATTAGTTAATTCATTCATCATATGGATTGCGAATTTCTGAATTATTAGGAGATGATGATGACGATGATGATGATGAGTTTTTACAGCAGCAACAACTCTTACCTTCTTCTGAATCTTCAGATGTGGATTTATCATCATTATTTGATTCGTTTGTATGATTATCATTTGTTTCTTCTTCATTAGTTTCCTGGTTATCTTCTGTTCTAGGTTCAACAACTTCCATATTTTGCTTAAATCCTCCAAATTCGCCCGATAAAGACCACACATGCTTGGGATCAGTAGGGCCACTAATTACAACAGAATCTTCACTGCCGCAACTTGAACAGCCATCCTTGCATTTACAAGAAGAACAACAACAAAGGGACCTTAGTAATCTTCTTGGACTTCTTAATTTAATTAAAGAAAAGTCAGAAAAAACCTCCAAACTGATCAACTTATCGTGGTTAACCACTGGATTTGAAAAGAAAGTGATGAATAAAACAAGAAATATAAAATCAAACTTTGTCAGACCCATCTTTAAAAAAAATTAAAAAAGAATTAAAAAAAATGAGGCAAATTAGACAAATATGATGTCGGCTGTACCAAGTAGAAGACGTCTTTGCATTAAATGAAGCGGCAGACTATTTATTTTAAGTAAAATTTCAGTTTTTTAAGAAATACATAATTATTAACATCCACTATATTAACATAAGATTTTTTTTGGATTATTAAGTTTAAAATGGTTAATGTTGAAAACAAATAATTAGTAGTTGTGAATACAGATACATTCAGTACTTTATTTCTGAAATTGCTTTACATCCAATTTACATAAATTATTATGTAATGCATTAAATAATATTATTGAGATGAAATAGGGCATAATAAAATCATTAATACAGAAAAAATCACCTTTAAATAGATTATTATTTAATAATGTGTCGGTTAGCTTAATAGAATAATTAGAAAAAAAAGAATCTTTATCAACCTTTTTTTTACGAGAATGAATGTTTCGAACTAAAAATTTTATATATATTACTAAAATTATAATTTAAAGTATTCTTTGGAAGTGTTGCATCAAAACTAATAAAGCTAATTGTTTATTTTACCCCAGTTCACAGAAAGTTTCCTTTAAGAGCTCGAAGAGATTGAGTGGAAATATATAAAATTCAACGAAGAATGCTCATTTAAATGAGAGAAAATTCATTATATTTTTCCCATGTATATTTTATTTCATGACTAGATAAGTCAATATCATAAAATATGATAAGCAAATAATAATTTAAAAATTAATTAACAACTTTCAACAATTCATTTTTTGGTTTGATTTTATTTTAAAAATATATTTATGAAATTCTAAAATTTCTTTATCTAAATCAGTTATCATAACGCATTTCTGTTTTTTTCTTGCACAATTTACCTAAATCACACAATTCTCAAACTCTTTTAAGATTTCAATGTGAATCTGCACAATGTTGTATAAAGATGAACTCCAACTCAAGACTTATTTAGTAAACACAAAGTTGTTCATAAGACGACCTTGTGTACAAAGTCAGCAACATGAAGCCAACACAACGTAATTAGAGACACAACCTATCTACATTGTTAATATCAAATACGCAATTGCACTAGTGCTACTAGGACAATAACGGTGTTTAACATATATTTACATTAAACATAATACCAAACACTGAAATTTAAGCATTGGTAATATATATTATCGTTTATTTAAAAAAAACAAACATTTTGTTACTCATTTAATCCAAAAGATTTGGAAGTGATGATGAACGCACTGGTGGTTTAGGTGGCTTTTCACTAGGTTTCTGAACCAAAAACTTCCTGCCAGTTCGTCCACTTCCACCATCTGTTTGATCAGCACGAGATGGGGAAGGAGAGCTTCTTCTTGAGGAACTACTCTGTGAGTTTTCAGAATAAGGGTCAGGAGTTCTAGATCTCTGGCACGATCCAGGAGGGTGTCCTCGTGGAGTTGGACGAGGAGGTCTGCCTCTAGTGGGTGGAGGAGGGTGTCCTCGTGGAGTTGGACAGGGAGGTTTGCCTTTAGTGGGTGAAGGAGGGTGTCCTCGTGGAGTTGGACAAGGAGGTCTGCCTTTAATGGGTGGAGGAGGGTGTCCTCGTGGAGTTGGACAAGGAGGTCTGCCTTTAATGGGTGGAGATGGTTTACCATTTTTTCCATCTGGCGGCGGAGGTATAAAATTTGGTAACTCAGGTGACGGATCTCTCGAACCCATGGGACCTGGATTATTCGAATTAGTTGGACCACCTGGACCACCTGAACCACCCGGACCATCTATGCCATCTGTACCACGAGAATTACTCGAATCGTCGGTATGACCGTGTTTATCTTTAATTCTTTTTCCTTTCTGATTTGCTCGGGAAAATGGATTCGGAAGACGGAGTTTGCCACGAGGGTTTCTTCCCTTGTTGCCAGACTCGGAGTCATTTTCATGTGGTGAAGCACTTAATCTTAGTAAAGACGACTTATTTGGATTATAAACCATAATGTCAGGACTCAAGTTTGCATAATTAACAACTTGGAACAAAAGCGGAAATATTACACATAAGAAAAAAATTGGATTCATTTTTTTGAAATTATTCACACAAAAATTTGTTTCATGTATTAAAACCTATATTAACAAATATTTCAAAAATCTTTCTTTTTTTAAAAATGCCTGACCTATGATTTGAAGAGTATCTTTGAGACGAAGACCAGACGTAAACAAAAAGTACCAATTAAACATTTATGGATTTAAATGGCAATTAATCGATTATTAGTTATTTTTTTTTAATGGATTTATTAGTAAATTAAATTTAGAAATAATTTCATTCTAATTTTCATTTAGTTGGAGATATTGTTGTCATTACTCTCTACGCAAAACAGAACAAAGTTATTTTTAGGTTAATATTTTTCGCAGATTTTGCGTTAAATCAAATATTTAACTCAACAATTAGTGCTTCAATTTCTACTATAAATAATTGAACCGTTGAAACGAAAAAATAGATCATTAATAATCAAACACACTTTCATATGAAATTTAAGTATAATAATTTATATAATTATCACACTTTCTAAATAACACATTAATTTAATTATAAATAATCACTCAGAGTTTCAAACATCAACTTAAACATACTAGAAATGGCCTATTAGCCTTAGTCACCTAATCTTCACGCAATAATAAACTAATGTGATAACTGCTCGATACAATAGTACCATGACTTATATATTTATTTTAAAAAGATACAAATTCCGTTGTTTGCATCGTTAAAAACCATCATAAAATTATTTGGTTGAGAGATTCTGATTAATTAAAACATTTAATGAAATTGCTGTCATAATCATTAAAAATGGGAACCATGAAACATAAAGATCAATTAGCAAATCTCTTTCTCAATTTCTCACGTCTAGATTTACCTCTATAAGGGCTGGGTGGTCTTGGCGTTCTCTCAAGGAAGGGATTTGTGTTTCTACCTGGTGATGAGGGGTTGGAAGAACTACTACTAGAGTCGGTTTCATCAGTTCCATTAGTTCCATCAGTTCCATCAGTTCCATCATCTGTTTCTTTCCCATTATCTGGATCAAATTGTTGTGAGTCTTGGGTAAGCAAACCTGGTGATATTCTTACTTTAAGCAAAGAAAGTCTGAGATATTCAACGGAATCATTTCGATTAAATGTATTGTAGTTCAAAAAGCATATTAAACATAATATATGTAAAAATAAAGACTTCATCATTAATAAAAAAAATCAAAAAAGATTTTGTAAATAATGTAGGTTCTTCTTGCTGTAAGCTTGAAAACTAAAATAGATTTATTTATCTGAACTCGTAGAAGTAATCTATTCCAAGAAATTAAAAAAAAATGTGAAATAATTATATAGTTATTGGCGCCTTATTTAATATGATATCGTGTATATATTTTTAAATATATACACAATATCATATTTATTAAAGACGAGGAAATCAAATTTTTTACAAGTTTAATAATGTATCCGCTGATTAATTATTTTAATTTTAATACTATTGATTTATAAAAACTTGATTTATTTTATTTAACCGTGGGTCTAACAGTAGTATTATTATTACCCATTTTTTTAAAGAAATAATGTTTATTTTTTATTTTTAATTAGGAATCGATAATGAAGAAAACTACATTGCTTAGTTATTGATAGTTTTTGCACTTGTATTTAATTAGAGTATTGTTACTATCAGTTTATTCCAAGTATATTTATATTACAAGAAGTACTGTATAGAGATTTTAATCTTGAAAGAAAAAAAAAATCAATGTTCTTCATGCTATGACTGGATTAAGAAAGATTTATTTTTGATATTAAATGTTTCATTTACCCAAGTACTCTAATGATCACTCGATTTCAATTAAAACAAAAGATTATATAAAAAGTGAACATCTTTTTCTTGTCAGACTAAAATTGTATTTACGATTAATTAGGATTTTTCTCTTCAATAATGCCCATTAAAAATAAGTGTTAATAAATCTTGCTAGATAATACATGTAAAATTAGCTTTTAATAGAGATTATTAAATAAATTTTCTATTAGAATAAGTTCTAGCTATATTAATGACACTTTTATATATACAAATTAAAAATAGTATACCCATATAGTTCATAATATTTCTTTTTGGCTAGCCTATTAGTGATAATAATTGAGTTTGCCCAAATTATATTTTGAATTTTACAATATTAATGATTTTAATCATAATGCTATTACTGATAATGATACTGCTACTACTATACTGACCATTTAAACAGAATAAAAATGAGTAAACAAATTGAGATTCCAATTTTTGATTAAATAATCATTTGTTCGTTCCGATAATAACTCATTTTTGGCAGTTCTTATTTCGTCCAAAGAAAAAAAAGCAATTATTGCCTTAAAATTCATTTTCTTACTGTGAAAGCAAAAAAAACTATATTTTTTTTCTCCAAAAAAAAACCAAATAAAAATAAAACCAATTTAAGATCTTAATTTGCTAAATAAAGCATCGTTAAATCAAGCTATATTACACAACTCCATTCTTCAAAGAATTAAACTACAATGAAGCCAATTTAACGAAAACCTTCATTCGCCAGATAAAACACATCTGCAGATCAAACCGAATTATAAAAACTCATCTATTCTCAGATAATACCTCTATTCCAAATCATCCAATTTAAAAATACCTTCATTATCCCCTGGCCCCTCTGACCCCTCTGGCCCTTGACCTGAACCTCCATCTGTTGAAGATTGTCTTCCCCTTCCTCTTCCTCTTCCTTTACTACTTCCTCTTCCTCTTCTACTTCCTCTTCCTTTTCCTTTACTACTTCCTCTTTCTCTACTACCTCCTCTTCCACTTCCTCTCCCTCTTCCTCTTCCTCTTCCTCTACCACCTCCCCTTGTTAGCCTTCCTTTTTGACGTCGTTCTGAATCTGATTCATCTTTCTCTTCTTCCTCTTCTTCCTCTTCTTCCTTTTCTTCCTCTTCCTCAGAGGAATCCTCGGAGGAACTCTGACTTGATTCCGATGGTGAAGATGGGCCTGACTCAGATGGACTAGGAGCTGGATAAGCTAGGGCACGTCTAAGCCAAGTGTGCTTAGTAGAGGGTGGGGGTCGAGGTGGTAAGGGGCTAGGACCAGGGCTGGGACTGGGGTCCGGATGTGGATGGTGATGTGGATGATGATGATGATGGTGGTGATGATGATGATGATGTGGGCCAGGGCGAGTTTCCTGGCTCGGTATGGGGAGGGGGGAGGATGACGATAGAGGTCTAAGTGTTGGTCGGGATCCTGGTCTTCCGGTCGGCCCCGGTTCAGTGGGGCTGTTAGTACCAGGGCCAGTACTTGAAGGCGTTTCATTTTTAACTCTTATAAGTGAAACTTCTCTTGTTAAAAAACTCTTCTCAGTATTGTGCTCGAAGAAAAATAAAGAGAAAGTAAGTGTAGATATGATCAACACCAAATAATTGTTTAGATACATCTTGAATATTTTATTTTAAAAAAAATTAACATAAATGATTAAAGTGATCGAACAAAAAAAAGGTTGTAACGTGTTTTTGTGTAGTTAATTAAAGATTTGAGATATGGAAGGTCTTTTTAATATATATATATATTAAAATATTGATTAAAAGTATATGAATTAATAGTTCCTTATCTATACGTTATAAAAAAAAGTACATACCGGTACGTACAATCTTTTAATTTTCTTCCCTCCAAATAGGCGGAAAGGTGCACTGGGAAATAAAAAAATAATTTATTTGCGCAATATGCCCAAAATCTTTATAAAGGAGGGAGTAGTAATTATTTAAATATATATTATTGAAACCTAACAAAAATCCAACAAATCTCTCTAAATTAAAGAAAGAAAGAAAGAAATCAGTTAAAACCCCACTTGATTTCGCAAACAACAAAAATAAAAACCGTTTATTCAATAAACAAATTTATTTAACCTTTAGTTCTAATTACACTCATCACTACAACTTACATTAGAAAAAAAATGAGTCTTACAATATTTACACGCAAAGATCACAATTTCAATCATCTCTGCAATTCTGTATTTAGAAAATAACTTGTTCATTGCCTTTAACATTTTTTTTTATATTTAAAATAATTGCATTTACAACCCTTACAATTTATATTTACGAATCATCACTGTTGTCGTCTTCGGGGTCAGTTTCTACGGGTGGTGATGGTGGACGAACTGTCATGGTTAATGTAAATCCTCTAAATGTACTGGTTTCTGGTTCAAAAGATAATTCTCCATTTTGAGGAAATTCGAGTTTACCACTATGTGAGCTTGAACTAGACGAGGATTTGGAAGAAGAAGAACAACAACAACAAGAAGAAGAATCAGATTCTGCATTTGTTTCCTCTGGATCAAAGCCATGATTAATAAGCATTAATCCGTTACTACCAACGAAACTGACTGTAGATACTGGTTCTCTAGTGCTCTGTCCATTACGTGTAGCTTCAAGATCAAGTTCTTCATCATTGGAAGATGAGCAACAACATAAAAATCCTCTTAAACAACCAGGGACTCTGACCTGTAAAAGTGAAAGATCACGCACCTGAAGATTGCTTCCTTTGTTGATTGATGGGACAAAGTTGGCGATTGAAATAAGAAGAATAGTTATGAATAAAAAATTTACAAGACGCATTTTAATGAATTTATTCCAATATTGGTAAATTTTGAACTAACAGAAAAAGAATAAAATAAAATTGATTTTAGAGTTACCCGCATTCTCTCTGTTAAATATTTTAGGCTAATATTTATTTAATCAGTATTAAGATAATATGTTGAAAAGCATTTAAATAATACATTGCTAGTGGCGGTATTTGAAGACAATATGGATAGTTATTGTCTTTTTAGTTGTAATTATCCTAATAATGCTATTTATTACTTGTGGATTTGGCAATTATGTTACTAACTTTATTTTTTAATTTAAAAAACTTTTGGATCTGAGGTTAACCCCTAGCGCGTTTATCTTAAACAATTAATTACAATACCAAATTAATCATCCAAGTTTATTACTGTTTTATATTTAAGAATGCTAAAATAAACAAAATGTCTGTTTAAGGATTTGTGCAACTGTACATTTATCCCATTTACCAAGTACAATAAATTATAATTTATTGAAGTTATTAATTATAATAATTGCAAAATGACTTTGGATTTCATTATCAACCAATTTCTGGTTATTAAAGCAACTTAATGATATGTGAAGTCTTTTTTTCTAAAATACGTTAATTTATGTTTGAACAAATGAGGTTTCTATACTTATAGAATAGGAATAATAACCAGATTTCACTCGTGCTCATTAAACTAAGTAACCATTCTTTGTAGGGGAAAGAAAAACTCTTTGGATGACTGAATTACTTATTTTAATGTTTGGTCTGGCTCTGTATATATGTTAACACTTGTTTTGTATATCAGAATAAATCGAGAATTGGAAATTTTTAATTTATATATAGAACTGAATGGGTAGAATATTATGTAGTTTAGCTCTCATACTTGCTGAAAATTACAAGTTATTTAAATACTTATTGAAACCCATTAATTACAAGAGTAATTAGAATATATGTAGATGTGAACAACTCAAGGCTCATCTCAGATTAGAAAACCAATTGGAGTAATTTAAAGGAAAAGAACAAAAAATTAGTCGTAGGGGCAACATAACACAGCCTAGTCTGTAGATTGAACTGCGTTTCCACCATAGCAAATATAGAGATGGGAGTGCGACAAAGTAATATAGCATTGATGAAAAGCTCGATTTAGACAAATTTCGCACAATAATTGTCTGGTCTTGGATTTATTTAGAGCACTCAATCAACCTCGAATGCTACAGGATTGACTCATCAATTTGAGAGAACAAATTCCTCGGATTTTTTTCAATCTTCACTCCTATTTCTTAAAGGTGTGGGCTTTTCTAATCCCATCATCACCCTAAGTGGTGGCGCAGTTGGAGAAGGCAACCCTCCAGGTATAGATCGCATTCCTCCTGTACTAAATCTCACTTGTTTCCTGGGCTTCTCTCGTCCAGCACCACCTTCTGAAGATTGGCATGATTCACCAGTGCCATTAAATCCGTTTTTTTTCTTCAAGCACGAACGGGCCGGTGGTGGTGGTAGGGTAGGAAACGTTTTCTTTTTTCCTCTGCCTCCCTTTCTCTTGCATTTTCCTCCGCAACAACCAAAACACCTACCCAAAAGTTTCCGGAATCTGGACGCTCTTAAATTAATGAAAGAAATAGTAGTTTTTATCTCGAAACTGTTCTTTAACTCATATTGTCCGCAATCAAACAAAGAAAGTATGAGAATTAAGGTCGCAATTAATAGGGTCGTTCTATTAACAAGCATGTCTTCCTAGTCTAGTAAGAAAAAAAAAGCAAAATGCGAAACGAGAATGAATTATGGATCTGATTTTATTCAGATCCTATTATATTTGGATCATTCCTTTTTATGTTGAACTTTTTATCGAGTGCCATACGTACCATTTATTTAGATGTTTTTGCCCCTCTTATACGTATTCCCCTAGAATGTCTGATATATTAAAAGGCGAAGATCACAAACTAAGTGAAGACACAAATCTTTACAAATATTGAAAATTCTAAATTGCCGTTGACTTCATACTTTTTGGCAAAAAAAAACTGAATGAGAACTAAATACTTTAATTGGAAATGGAGACTTTTCTAAGATAAATGTTTTGGTACGATTAATGATAAATGACCTTTTTTTCTTCTGTTCCTATATTATTGAATAGATAGATGAAAAAGTCCACTTGATTTGTCCAAATTGTATTCACTGTAATATTTATATATGTTTAATGGTTTTGTACCCTAAAGTTAGTGTGTTTTCTCTTGCTACGCTAAATGTTATTTTTTCAAAAACTATTCTCGGTTTGTGACATGCCAGTCGCTTCCTAATTTTTATATATAATTGGGACATAAATATTAAAGATTGTTCTATGTTAGAACCAGTTCATGTATTTTTTTTTTTTTGCAATGTTAATAATTTTTAAAGTAAAATATTGTACGATTCTCCTCTACCTAATAACTTTGAAAAAAAACATGTGAAATATTCTTTGTTTTGATCATCTTCAATTTTTAATATTTAAGTGAAAAATCAAATGTTACTAAAGTGGCATTTGATAGCAAAAATAAAATCATACTTATGTTTTCCCTTGTATTCATTTATTGTCATCTACCTAACAGTTCTTAAACAAAACAAAAATGATTAAATTTGTATTATTTAGTAACAAATCTTAAACAATAGAAAATAATAGATATATAATGATTTTTTTTTTCTTGAAACAAATTCTATTATTTTAGTATTTTTATATTGGAATGATCTAAAATTCTAATATAACTTTGTTAATAAATTGGCTGGATATGTAGTATAAATTAATTTATAAGATATATTCAAGTTAAAAATATTTAATATTGGTTACCATAAACAAAATTATTGAAGAATAATAAAGTAAACAATTTAAAGAAATATTACTACTGGGTAACAAATTTGAATCCATATTATTAGCTATATATTACAATTCCCCATATTGTTTAGAAGTCTTGAATGACACCAATGACTACTTTTATTGTACCTAATAAAATAATTTGCTCAGAAAATAAACTAATTATGATTCACACAGATTTTTTTGATAGATACTAACAAAAATATACAATGTTTTGTCAATAATATATACTTGAAAAGAAATAAATATATCAGGTTAGTAAAAGATTGATGTATTACAAAAAGTTACGTCATAAATTTGGAATTTTAAAGCAAATCTTTAAAATCTAGAATTTTGAAAAATATAAATTTTCAACTATAATTCTTGTTAATTTAAGTACATGCAATAATTATTTCTTAAAATATTATTTTATTTTGTTTTTTCATTTTATTATTATAAATATTGGCGGTAAAAATAATTAGTTCCTGTCTCACAAATTATTAAAATTTATGACATGTTTATGATTTTCTTATTACTGTATAAAATAAAAAGAAAATTATTTTGGAAAGCTTATATATTTGATTTATTTACTTTAGAATAGTACCAAGTTTTTTTATACAAAAATTAATTTTTAAGAAGAGTAATATATGTATTTGAATATTTTATTCTTGTTTCTAGATTCGATATTCACAAATATACTGTATTATTTTTTAGTAGTAAAATGCAAAAAAGTGACTAAATCTGAACTAATATTACTATTTCTGGCAATACCAGTAAATCTTTTGGTAAGTTTGTTATGAAACAAATTAATAATACTTAAGCTCTATTCTGAGGGCATTATTAAAAATCATTTAATAACTTCTCTAATAAACCTTATAAAAACAATGATAAAAAACATTTGGAAATAACATAATTTTATAATTGAAAAATATAGTCGTATATATTTAATAACAATTTTCTTAAGGTTTTTTTCAATTCAATAATTTGCTTACTTATTCATAGAATCGTGATCCCTTGTATTACTGGAGGAATTGCGTGTGGTAAAACACAAGTTTCAAATTTTTTAAAAGAAAATAACTTTGTGATCATTGACATGGATATAATTTCAAGAAAAATTGTAGATATTGGAAAGCCTGCTTATTAGTAAGTTTTATATTTTAACTTGGTTTGGTATTTTAATGTTTAATATACTTGAAACCAAGTATAATATATTACTTGTTGGAGCCTCATTACTAAATGAATATTTCATATTTACCTTTAATTAATCAATTTCAAAATAGTGACATATTGAAAGAATTTGGTGATAAATTAGCAAACGAAGATGGGAGCTTGAATAGGAAGCTTCTTAGATCTATAGTTTTCGAGGATCCACTAAAAAGAAAAAAATTGAACAAGATTACACATTCCAGAATCTTTTCTGCTACCTTATATGAGATTTTTTATCACAGAGTGTTTATTCTATTTACAAGATTTAGGAATGTTAAGACCGTTCTTGTATCTCCTTTGCTTTTTGAAAGCAAAGTTTTTACGTGGATATGCTCACCAATTTATGTAGTATTTACAAATAGAGAACAGCAAATTAAGTACTTAATGGAGAGAGATTTCTGTACTAGAACTCTAGCAGAAAACATGATTGACTCGCAGATGAGTTTAGAAACTAAGTGTGAACTCGCAGACAAAGTTTTTTGGAATAATAATAGCTTACATGATCTACAAATTCAAATCAAGAGTGAATTTTCTTTGCCATAACTAACTAAATACGCTAGTTTTTTTTTACTATAAGCTAGCAACTACAAATTCTATATTTTTACAAACTTTTAATTTTATTGCTTACCAATTAATTATATTTTTTTTATCATCTTTTTTCCTTTTTTTTTCATCTTTTACCAACATATTTTAGCTGCATGCAATATTGGTAGACATGACGTCTTGGGCAAAGTTACCATCTAAGAGAAAAAAAGAACAAGTATAAAATAATGTTACTTGGAAGAGATAATAATAAATTACGGTAAAGATAAATATAAGGATACTATAAGCGACTTAGTCCTTTATTATCATTATTGTTGTTTTAACAATAATAATTTAATATTGGGTATTAAAATTGGTCTTTTTCCCTTAAAAACGAATTCTACATATACATTTTCAGCTTGATAGCCCAAGATCATCTATTACTTTTAGTATTAACATATTTACAGTTAATAATATAAATATAGGTGTATTAATTTGTGATCAAATCAACTTTTTTCACAAGTAAAGTTTTTTCCTTAAAAACAAAACTGAAGAAATAATCATCAAAATGGGTAATTCTCTTTCATCAGGATGCTGTTCTGGAAGAGAAAATGAGGAGGCAAAAAAGTTAGCTCAAGAAAAGATGAATAGAAATGAGGCTTTAGGTGATGATATTTCTAGGTTTGATTTGGCATATGACAAAAATGATATACAAGAATTTATTAATCTATTATCTTCAACCCAACCAATAGATAAGTTAGATGAGCCAATGCATCCTTGGGCGGCCGATCCTAAAACTGTTGGAGCATTAGCTGCAACTCAGTTGGCAATTCTTGCTGCAAGAGACAGTCAGCCGGAGCTTAAAGATGAAATTAGAAAAAAAGGAGGAATACAAGGTTTATTAGAGTTACTTAAAAGTAAAGAGGAAGATAGAATTGACGGTGCAATTGTAGCACTTTCATTTCTGAGTGTTAATAATGTTGAATGTTGTAATGTAATGTTTGAATGTGGAGTATTACCATATCTAGTGAAATGCATGTCAAGCGAAATAGATGGGTTAAGAGCAGCATCTGCACAAACAGCAAGAAATATCTTCATATTAGGACTTAACCAAAGAAAAGAATTTATGAGACTCGGTGGAATTACGGTATTAGTAAATCTTCTTACTCCTCCTACAAAAAACGTCGATAAACCAGAAAGTTGGTATACTCCTCTTGAAGCAGTGTATCATATAGAAGATTTAATTATTGATCAAAATGAAGAATTACTAGAATATACTAGAGCTATTCGAAAATGTGGAGTTGTTGAGAAGCTACAGGTTCTTACAAAAAGCAACAACAGAGATGTTTCAGAAGCAGCCGAAATTTTATTAGCTAGAGTTGCTGAGTGATCTTAGCAATATTTATTAAAGAAAAATTAAAAAAATAAAAGAAAAAAAAAGTAATCTATACAAATCCTTTATATTAATAAGTTTGACAATTTACATATACATTTATTCACTATCAAACAACATTCCTCCCCTAGAATAAACATTAGTATACTCTAATTAAATACATATTTTCACACATTATATCGAATTATTCAGATAGTTGACCTTAAATTATTAGACAAATATATTTCATATAATTATCGTTTTATCAAAGTAAATCAGTACAACTCTTTCAAAAATAGTTCAATCAATATAGTAAATATATATTAGATTAACCGAACATTTTTTTGCAAGAAGAAATATATTTCCGTTTTTACATTAATATTTCTTTTCAATAATACTCTATTTATTATTTAGGCGCCAAATTATTAATTTTTTTTTTGTTGTATTTTAAAGTAAATTTATGAGACGTAATAAAGGAAAAAGAAATTTGACATAAAGCCTTGCTTTTTTTTCTGGAAGGAAGAGTTATTAAAAAAGTTTAAATATACTTCAGTACTAGTACTTTGGTGCATAAAATTACACTTATATACAAGAAGAATCTAAGCTCTGACTCTTAGTAATTACGCGAATTAAAGAGGCAAATATATGCATATGAATTATGTTTAAAGTAACTCGTGAAGAATTAGGTGAAGATATTGATCTTCTGGAGTATTTGAGTGATTCTACATACGATGGAGAAGAGACTGAAGAATATATCTCTAAGAAATGTAATGCAATAGAAGAGCCACTAACTTTATCTGACTCGTTTTCAAAAAGCTTCGCTGTTTTTGGGTTGCCATGTATAGGCTCAGATAAGTATGAAAGATTTCTTAAGGCTCTTAGGACAATTATTAATCAAACCCTCAGGATGATGAGAGTAGAATACGACGAAAACTTTTTACTTGATATACCACAGGATGAAGATGGTAATACTAAAGGAGTTGCTATATTAACATTTTCAAATTCATTCCAAGCAGAAACAGTCTGCCAAGCACTTTCAAAAGCACCGTTTGATAAACATACAAGATTTAATACTGTTATGTTTGATGATATTAAAAGAATTATTGAACAAGATGAATCTGCCCCAGGACATTTTGAGACTCTATACCCACCACCAACTCTTTTCAGTAGAAATGATTTAAGAAATTGGTTAATGGGGCCAAGATGTAGAGAGCAATTCGTTATTAGATATCAAAGTGCAACCGAAATTTATTCATTTGACTCTATTCAAAGAATTCCCGAATTAATTTATGATGGTGAAAGAGCAAAAGGAGGAAAAAGAGTTTGGACAGATTTTTCTGTACAATGGAGTCCTATGGGTTCTTATTTGGTTACATTCCATCGTCAAGGAGTTGCACTTTGGGGAGGTGATAATTGGGATAAGAAGGTTAGATTTGAACACAAAGATGTTAAATTCATTGATTTTAGCCCCAATGAAGAGTACTTACTAACATGGGATGGTTCTTCACCAGATTCTAGATTTGATAAGGCTGTGAAAGTATGGCATGTTCTTTCTGGAAGACTATTGAGATGCTTTTCCACACCAACAATGGCACTTAATAATAATGTATCTGATAATGATCTGCATTTCCTCTGGAGTCCAACCGGAAATTATCTCGCTCATTGCTCAGACAAGGGAGAACTTTTTGTCTATGAATCTTCTAATATGACCTTAGTAGAAGATCCTTCTACTGGTAATAAAAACCCATTAAAGTACCCACTTCAGTTTTTTGATTGGTCTCCTGAAGAAGACAACCTTTCAATTTGGTGTCCAGAAAGAGGAGACACACCTGGTAGACTTACTTTACTTTCAATTAAAAATAGAAAAGAGTTGGCAATAAAAAATGTATTCAATGTTAGAGAGGCATCTGTTCACTGGCAACCAAAAGGTCAGTATATGTGTCTTAAAGCTCTAGTTTCTAGAAAAGCTGGTAAAAAAGCAAAAAAAGAATATACTCAACTTGAGATTTTTAGAGTCAAGGAGAAAAATGTACCAGTTGATACTGTTCACATTGAAGGTGTTACTGTTAAGTGCCTATCCTGGGAATCATCAAACAGATTTGCTATTGTAGTTGTGGATGATGTAACAAGATCCCAAACACTGAGATTTTACCAAGTAAATGCCACACAAACTGACTTTGTATGTTCTTATTATTTAACATCACCCGTTGATACAATTAAATGGAGCCCACTTGGTAGTTATTTCGTTTTGGGAGGCTCTGGAGGAAACTTGACATTCTGTCAACTCACAAATGAAAACAAATTTGATATCCTACAAAAAGATGAGCACTTTATGTGTAACTGGATCCAATGGGATCCTACTGGTAGATATGTTACAACGGCTTTCCAATCTAAGTTAGCCGAAGGTGCATATAAGTACAGCACAGAAACAGGTTTCATCGTTTGGTCTTTTCAGGGTAGACAACTTTACAACTCTCCTTTAGAAACATTCTACCAATTTATATGGAGACCTCATCCTCCTTCTCTACTTTCACAAAAGAAGTTTGATGAAATTCCGAAAAAACTTAAGGATTACAGTAAAAAGTTTGATGCTGAGGACGAAGCAGTTAGATCTGAAAAGAGAAATGTTTTCCTCCAAAAGAGAAAGGTAAATGAGGATGAATTCAATGCCATTCTTCAGAAGATTCATGATTGGAAGGTTCAGCAACCTCCCTACAAGGAATGGCTTGCAGCGAAAGAAACTCTTCTTGAATCTCTACAATGGGAAGAACAAGAAGAAGTTATCGAAATTGAACTTGAAACTATCCAGGAGGTTATTTCTACTGAGGTATAAAAAAGAAGTCGCATTCGTTTTTTTTTGTATTTACTAACAGTACAAATCTGCTTTTATTTATATCATTAATTTCACTATATAATATTTTTATAGTATTCAATAATTAGTTTATTATTATTTAACTCCTACTCATCATTCAATTTTACTTTTACCTGTTTTAGCTCACACTCAAGATCTGCATGACATCATTTTTACTTTTTTTATTAGTAACGAGACGAGACAAAGCCACGGCGATACGGTATTTGCCATTTTTTGTCTTAGGACAATTTGGCGCCCATATATTAATAATCAACTTATTAATTAATGAACTAATTAAATAATATATTATTATTATTATTACTATTTAATAAAGCTGTACAAATTACGATAAATATATAATATCATAAACAAAAACTTTCTATTGTTTAACTCGTTTATTTCTACAAATTACTTTTTAAATTTTCTACAATAAAAGGTTAACAAAATGGGAGCAAACAAAGGTTTCATGTTAAAAAAGCGTCTTGGAAAGAAGATGAAGCAAAACAGAGCTGTACCACACTGGTTCCGCATGAAAAGCGATACTGATATCAGATACAATGTCAAGAAGCGTCACTGGTTAAGAACTAAGCTCGGAATGTAAATTCTATATATATATATTTTCTGAATGGATATATTATATGGAGTTCTGATTTCAACAGACTTTCTTATTTTTGATTAACTAATCACTTGTTTCATGTCAAACAATTGAGGAACTCTAATCTTTGGATGTCTAGGATTATTAATTAATATGATAGCTTAATCATCATTAATCAATAGCTTCTTAATTTTATTCTATCTCTATTGTTCTTTTTTGATCTCTTCATAACAAGCCTTAATTGCATATATTTGTATCTCGAAGTCTACCATTATTTGCCCTTATTCAGTATCATTCTCTTCAGAATGATCTATACATATATTTAATGTATTAATACACTCTTGTAATCTCTCTTCTAATACCATTGAGAAATTTAAGAGTTGAATAACTTGATGTGTCCAAATAGTATAATTATTGTTGATATTCTCATCTTCATCATTTGAAGTCTGTATTTGCGTTAACATTTCTTCTATCCAAAAATATATTTTAATACTTTTTTCCTGTTTAATATCTAAAATTTTTTCAATTTCTTTCTTTTCGCATTGAAAATCTTTAATTTTATATATATAACTTTTCAAGTCAACGTTAAAACTGCTTTCTTTCTTTGAAAGCTGAATTAATGTACTTTGAAACTCAATAATATCTTCTTTAGTTATCAGATTTTCGCTAGAGTCCAACATACATTGATTCAACTGCTCAGTTGCAGTATTCAAAACTTTATTTAAAATATTGAGTTCTCTTTCTATTTTGTCATGAAATTTACTTCTCACTTTGCAGTTATAACATTCCTCTATTTCACATCTTATACTATTTAAACCCATTAAAAGTTTCAACCTAGTTTGATTTTTCGACAGTAGTGATGCTATTTTTTGTAAAACTAAAATTTCTATCTTACTACACTGAAATTCTGATTCTGGATTTAGCTGAAATGTATTTTGATCTTCATTACCTGTGCTAGATTTACTTCCATGTAAGTACTTACTCATTCCTGGTATTGGAGACTTTGTAATATCCTGATATTCAAATATAGTTTTGTCCAATTTATCCTCTTTTATTCTTTTTTTAATTCTTGTTTTTTCAGGTCTCATACTTAGATATTTTGAAAAGCGATCTTTAAATTCATTTCTGTGGTAATTTTCGTAAATCTCCTTATTGTAATCATAATAATTTAATTGTTCATTATATATATAGGAATTCAACTTTTTTCTAATTCTTTTGAATGTTTTAAATTCAGAATTTAATCTTTGATAAATATCTTCTGAAGAAGTCAAATTACTACAACAATCAATCTGGAAAGCTCTGGAACATTCTATGTAACCTTTGCTATGAATTTCCCTTAGTTTCTCTATCAAACAATTAATATTCTCACTATGTTCCTGGAAACTCTTGTATAAATTTTTTATCTCAGATTTTCTGTTTAAATAATCATGAAAAGAGCTATTAAATTCCTGATTTTTATTTACACATGATGATAGATATCTATCAATGTTACTAAATACCTCATCATAATAGGTTTTCTCTTTCCATATTGATCCCCATTCTTTAACTTGCTTTGAAAAATGATACTCAGAGAATTTTAGGTTGCTATTTATAATAGAGTTATATATATGCTCAGACATATCTTGTAGATGTTTTCTCTTGAATGAAATCTCTTTATAAAAAGTAAATGCTTCTGTGTAGCTCTCCTTATCACATTTCAAAATCAATTCTGGTTGGTTTGGTAGCCATTCTCTAAGAGTGTTATCTTTAATTAAAATCCATTCTTTCGTATTTCCCCTTGTTAATCTTTTAACATTTGTTTTCCTTATTTGAACAAAATACTTATTTAGCTCAAAGTTTACTAATCTTAAAAGATTGTTATATTTTCTAATCTGAGTATTATTATCAATAATTTTTTTAAACTTATAGTAACAATCATTACATTGCCTATTTTTACATGAACTACAATCTTTTCTGTCAATGTTCGAGTAAGACAACTCCAAAACTTTAATGAATGCTTGTAATGTGAATTTAATTCTTTCAAGAACCTTTGCTCTAAGAAAAGGTGATAACTGCCCATCTAATCCCAATACTCTATTAATAAAAGACTCAGATAAGTACTTCTCAACTGACCATAATCTACCATCCTTTCCAAAATACTCTAGTTCAATTTCATTGTTTTTGTTCAAGTCCTTGAATTCAGAACTAATTAAAATTTGCTCAAAACCACATAGATCTAAATAAGCTAAAATAGACTTATAAAGTTTATTCTGAGAATTAATGTTACTTTCCAAGTTTTTAAGTTTCTTATAATTCTCGTAACATCTTTGGCAGTCATTATAAGAACAAGTTTGACATTCTTTTCGTCTTAAATATACCCTCTTTTGAATCTCACTGGAAATTATTCTGCTTATCATTTCTTTGGATAATTCGCTCATCAAAACTAAGCTATTAACATCACATAATAACTTTTTATTATGTACTTCCCAATTTTTAGTGGAACCATAAATTAATTTCTCAAGATCTACCTTATTCTTTTCGTATTCCTCATACTTTTTAAATATTTTGTTTAGCTTTCTATTGTATTCATTAGGAGGCATATATCTATATTTGTAACCATAAGGTCTTTTAATAGATTGAGAATGATCATCTAGTTCAATATTTTTGTTTTCTAGGAAGTAAATACAAGATTGGATGTCATTTTCGAACTTGATTTTTTGAGATTGATAGTACTTTAGAATACGTATTTGTGTATCAAGCATATCTCCGAATTTAGTGAATCCATTAAATGATTTGATATTACACTTGGGACATGATCTTTCAAATAAAGACTCAATAAAAAACTTTACACTTCTAATCAAAAGTGATAACTTCTCATTTTTATTAACTAATTCTTCAAGCTTTTCTTTAGTACAATCAGTCATATTTGATTCAGCTCGTTCATTATTACCTGGAATTTTATCCTTTTCACTATTTTTGATTTGAATATCTATTTCCTTTTCAGATTCACTTAACATTTTTTTTAGTTCTTTATAGTTTGACTCATGATCCACTCTATGGTCATCTTTTGTTATATTAAAATTTGGTCTTTTTATTACTTTATAAATTCTTCCTCTTTTTTTATTAAAATCTTCCCATGCTTGAGTATAATTTACTCCACTATTTAATTGCCATTCAGAGTTATTTTTGTCATAGTTATGGTAAAAATCAAACTTATTTGAATGGTCAACAAATTCTTTAAATAAAGATATGATCATTTTATATCGATGCTTATACTTGTTTAACTCGATATACTTACTATTTAAATGTGATTGGAAGTCATTACATATATTACACTCAGGGGAATCACATTGCATAATAAAAGAACTTTCCAAATTTTTAATTTCAATAGAAGTTTGGTATATTCTTTTTAGGGTGTTTTCTTTCATATTTATAAGTCTTCTAATCCTGGACTTATATTTTTCCTTTTCTAAATCCTCTGACATCATATCTTTAATAATTGGGATTTTATTTTCCGAATAACTATCCAAATAAGAGTTTTTATCTTCCTCATCACTCATTATTTTCTTATAAATGCTCGTATTTTCTGATATCTCTGAATTATAGGTATCTCCCATCTGATCGTAAAAGCCCATATAATTTTGTCGTTCTTCTTCTTCTTCCAAAACTAAAAAGTCATTTTCCAATTTATTATTTGGACCAAATATCTTGCTAGAGCTACGTAGAATTGCATATTCCTCTGGAAAATTAGTTTCGTTGAACAAAAGGATCACCTTTTTACCTCTTTGGTTATACCAACAATCCGGATTATCTAACAATAGTAATAACTTTTGATCCAATTCAAATTCATTGGCAGATTTACCAAAAGCATTGTACTCTCTCAAGAATAAATCCAAGCTGGGGGCTACATAACCAGTATATTTAAACTGGTAATCTCTTCCTTGATCCCCATAAGAATCTGGTAAATAACAGGATATCAATAATACTAATAGAGATATCACAATAATCAATTTCATTGTTAAATCTCAATAGCAGCTACTTATATTTGTTACAGTGTTTGACTATTAAGTTGTTTTACAAATCCTTATTCAACATACTGTAATCACTTTTAACTTAATTTTTTTTTGTAAAACTATTTTTAGATTTTATATTTTTCATGTAAATTCTGACAATTGGCGCCAAAATTTATTAAAAGATAATGAAAGAAAAAAAAAGTTAATTTAAGAAAAATATAAATATGAATATTATTACTTTTCTCCAATAACCTGTTGGATTTACTGGAGTTTTACTTTTATTGAATGTTTTCTTTTCATATTGAGAGCTTGAGAGCTTAGAAACAAGTTAAATATATTAGTGAATATTCTTTTAGTTAAATAGATGAATAACAAAGACATAAAATAATATTATTTGAAAAAAAACTATAAATATAGCTAGTATTTAACCTGTGATAGCATATTAAAAATATAATAAAGTGCATTGTTGGCAGGAAAATATGAAAGGTTATTTAATGCCTCCAGATTTTCACAATGCAGTCTTTGGATCCTGAAGAAAGTCTTGAACCATCTATTGACCAATCAATAGTGTAAACTTCATCAGCATGACCTGGGAGATCCTCCTTTAGCTTTTTAGAGCTTACATGCCAAACTTTGACGGTACTATCACTGGAGGCAGAAGCAATCAACCTACTATCTACTGACCATGAAACCATATATACCGGCCCAACATGGCCTCTGAGGACAGCAATGAACTTTCCAGAATGCCCATCCCAGAGCCTAATAGTTTTATCAAATGATGCAGACGCAATATATCTTCCATCAGGTGAAAAGGCCACATGATTTACAACCTTAATATGCCCAGTTAACCTGTGGATTGGTTTTCTTCCATTTTCCCCAAGTGGATCCCAGAGAAACATAGTATTGTCATCTGATCCTGAAAGAAGTCTCTCAAATTTGCACCTTTTTTTAAAATTCTCGATCGATTTTTTCGCTGCAGTAATCTTGTCTTGCAAGGATTTAAAGTTAAGCTTTAGATTTTTACCACTAGGGTAGTAGCAAGCTGATCTAGTTATGTAGTCAGTATTCAAAGCAAGAGTGTTAACCCAATGAGCATGACCTTTAAGATCTCTTAGAAGTTGACCAGTCTGTGGGTTCCAAACCTTAATTAATGTATCTCTAGAAGAGCTAACAACATATTCTTGATTTATTCCTGTCCATTTAACATGAGTAATCATTTCGGTGTGAGATGACAAAGTATTAATAATGGTTCCACTTGCCACATTCCAAATCTTTAAAGTAAAATCTTTAGAAGCACTAATTAACTTTGGTAAATATAAGTTATTTGATCCCAGCTCTGTAGTATTTTCCTCTTCATCCATTTTAATTTCATTAGAATATTCTATCAAATGTAAGGGTTGCCATGCTAGTGAGACTACAGCCTTAGAGTGGCCTTTAAGTTTTCTAAATACCTTATCTCCTTTAAATGGATTCCAAATACAAATTATATTGTCCATACCTGCTGAAGCTAATAAGGTAGAGTCTGGAGACCATGCCAGGGTAAGAACCCAATTTGAATGCTCTTTTAAGCACATTTCAGGAGTTTCTGTAAGAAGATCCCAGATTCTAACTGTTGTATCTCCTGACCCTGTTGCAAGAAGATTGCTGTCAGGACTAAAAGAACAACATAAAACTGCATCTTTGTGGCCTTGTAAAGAGCTAGTACATCTTGTGGCCGGCAAAATTTTAAAAGGAGTCATTGGATAGTACACAATCCTAAGCACATCTTCCGTAGAAATCCCTCCTATCTTATCAAATGTTTCAGAAAGTGAAAAAGAAACCTCCAAGTTTGAATCATTTAGACAAAAGCTATAAGGAGTATCTTCTTCATTCTCCAAAAGCTGATTAACCAGAGAAGTCAAGTCCTTTAAATTGGTTTCATCCAAGTTTATATCGAATTCATCGCCTACCTTGTTGCCATCTGGATCTATAAATTGAACATTAACATGGCGTTTCTGCTTCTGTTCCGTTGCCTCCCACAGGCTTTTCTCTTGATTTTCTCTTCCTACCCTCCTCTTCTTCATATATTCCATTTCTTCAGCATTATTTACTGTCATTTGCACTGACTTGCTGATTTTTTTTTTCTATCTTTTGAGTTTTCTGTTCTTAAGACAGCTCCAATATAATTAATTCTCTGATATCTATATTGAGCGGGCTTTTTGGTTATACTTTTTTTTTCTGATCATGACAATAAAATACAAGTACTATTAGATTAGTTCCAGAAAATTGGAAACTTATTATAAAATGTCGAATAAAGTGGAAAGTAACGCAACTTTTAGAGTCCCACCAAAAGTATTGTACAATAGTTTCTTGGATGAACAGGATTTGACTAGACTTTCACTAGGAAGTAAATGTGTAATGGTAAGTTTTATAATTCAAAATAAAATTGTGGGTTTCGCTAAAACAAATTTTCATTACTCACTTTAATTTCTCAATAGGATCCCAAAGAGGGTGGGAAGTTTTCATTATACAATGGATCAGTGGAAGGTCTGAATGTTAAGTTGGAGAAAGATAAAAAAATCGAACAGAAATGGAGATTTAGCTCTTGGGAAGAAGGTGTTTATTCAAAGGTTGTTATTGAGTTTAGACCCCTAATTGGAGAAGATGACTGCACTGAGATAGCATTAGTTCAGACAGGAATTCCATCTCTAGATAAATTTGGAAACCCTGGATGTCTTGAACAATGTATGATAGGTTGGGAAAGGAATTTTTGGGACCGTTTTGAAAAAATTATGGGGTACCCAAAATTTAAATAGATCAATTAGTTAATAAGAAACTAGAAGCTAGTAGATATTTATTTATTTATTAGATTAGAATAGAAACAAATACATTAGTCATAATTAACAGTTATAATAATTAGCAACATAATAAAGGCTTACAATGTACCTTGTAATGAGAATAAAAAGCTAAGTAGAATAGTTACTATAGAAATAGAGACGAAATTGGTCACTTTATGATTAATACAATATTACTATTCATATTAAGGGTAGTAAATAATCAAAAGTATTTAACCCATATAAGAAGATTCATAAGCCAGCTACCAGCTGTCATACCTGCTACATTATAAATGGCAAGAAGGAAAGATGCCTTTTCTTTATTATGCCTAAAGTATACAGTTTCAGGCCCATAAATAAAGGCAAGGTATGCAGAAAGACCATTAGTAAATGCCAGGAGAAATTGGACAATAATTTTAGTCCAAATAGAAGCAAGAAAAGATCCATAACTGGCATTTTTAATGGCTGCATAAAGAGGTATAAAAGCGAGCCTGGAAGTGGTTAGAATCCAAAGAAGAGATGGAGGGATAGTGAACCCAAATTTAGGTACGTGTCTTCCAAGCATATCCCCAAGATGAAACATTCCAACTAAAGTCACCATCAATATATTTGAATATTTTTCAGGTAAAAAAAAGTCCCATTCCGCACAAACTGTAGGGAAAACTGCCAGAGTAACCATAAAAGACATAAAAATATTATAAAGTTGTGGCCAAATCTGTCTGGTTACTTCCAAATGGCTACTTCTGCATTCATAACTATTTTCGGTGTCAAGGGAAATAGGAACTGAGAGTAGAGAATCTTCATAGGAAAATTGAGAGTCATTTCTGTTTTGACTAGCAGATAATAGTGTGCTTGCATTTGATTTCTTACGAATTTCAGCAATAGCTGAGTAACTCCAGGGAGATTTAGTTAGTGATTGAGCCAAAAATGCAGCCAAGAGTGAAATAACTGTGCTTGCAGCAAACATTATGGTTACTAGAAGCTTTCTTCCTTGAATATCGTGTGGGATTATCATGTCCAAAATAATTGTCAGAGCAAATGTAATTGCTCCACTGAAACTTTGCCCTAAAGATACATCCGAACAAAAGCTTTCTGGCATAATAGCTGCCAATGTAAATGTCTCTGGTATCAAAATTGCACAGCTAAAAGCTACAAGTCCTGCAATTAGAATATTTAAAGAGCATCCCCAATAGGTACCGTGTAGAAACCATATAGATAGACAAATGATTGAAGACTGTAATGCACCAACACAATTAAATATTACAGTACAATGGTGAGGATCAAAAATATGAGTCAAACCAAAAACCATAGTTAAGTTACCTATGAATACAGATGTCATATAACTGGTTTGAACATATTGAATAAATCCCATTTCTGGAAATAATTGTTTATTCAGAATTCCATAACAACTTAAGTATGTATTCCACATAAATAAAGAAGCTATACCAAATGTAATAAATACTAGGCGAGCATATAGCCTTTCACGTCTGGGGATTAGTCCTCCAGATTGAATTAAGGATGTAAAGTAAGGAATGCTAACCGTACTTGAGTTCTCTAGTCCTTCAGATTTCATTGTAATAATAGAATCTTTCTGAATAATATTCAATTTTTAGAATAAATTCATTATAATTAAAAGTCTTCTTAATCTGTAAAAACTTGGGTTCTCTAAGAACAAGTATTGGATTTCAGATCAACTAAATTACCTGTAATCTTATTTTTGTTGAGTAAAGTTAATAAAGCCAAATACCTTTATTTCTTTTCAATGTTTCTATAATTGAAAACTTTAATTAGAAATAGTTTGTTAATAAATCCTCGTAATTAAAAATTTTTGTTTTATCACCCTTGCAAACACGGTAATTCTCTGCAATCTTACATTCTTTAATCCAAATCCCTATAGTTCAAGTTTGGCTATAAGTAACAAGACAATCAAGATGCTGAAGTTTTCTAATTCTAATCAAATATTTACTTTCAAATAAGTGCAATTACCAATATTCTCAACTTCTTAAAAAGTCCTTAATTATGAGAAATATAATACATCCAAATTATATTCTTCACAAGATTAACATATTGTTCAAGTAAGCTGATGACTAAGCTACTAACCATTAACAATTTCCCGCGGAACTCATTTGTAAAATTCGGTATCGGATTTTTCTTAGCGTTTTGGCGGGCTTTCTGAAAACGGCATACATAACGGAACATGTCAAAAAGGCAATTAAAACAATAATATGATTTGAACAATTATATCAGATGAAATTGAGTAAATAGAAAAAAATATGTAATTTCAAAAAAAAGAGATAGCAATTCAGTATACTTATAGGCATAATCAGATATTTAAAAAGTTTGTTGCCTTGATATATGCGATTTAATAAGCAATCAAGTGGGCTTTAATTGTCATTTTTTTTTTCTGATTAGTTTATAAAAAGAGTTAAATTATCCTTCTAATTTGGGGATTTTATTGGGCCGAAGTAAGCTTAAATCTTCAGAGTTTGAATTGTTAAATTCAGCCTCCCATGCCTTAAGCTTATTTTGGTCAAGATGAATGTTGATATATTCAGAAATGATTCCTCTAATGTAATCTTGAAATTCTTCAAAAACTCCGGTTCTTTCTAGAACGAATTCTTGCTTGTTACTGGCAGGTTTAAGCCATTGTGGGACATTGATTAGAGCAGTTACCTGGAATTTATTTGCTTCTTTAACTTTTGTATTTGGGAAAGTGTGTTCTAGTCTCCTAATTAGACGGCCATTATAATACAGCAGGATGCCTGCTTCAAATAGATGCTCAGATTGAGTGATTTCGGAGTTGATAGAAGAGATTTCATTTGAGCGTTTTGCATTTACTTTTCCTATTTCCGACTCCGTTTCCATTGAAATTTCTTGTTTGTCATTATTCTTAGAAGTTGAAGAAAGCTTCCCAATTAAGGCGAATGCACCATCATTGGAGCCATTTTTGTAGATTCTAGATAGTTCCACAGAGTACTTTAGATGCTGAGTTAAAAACTCGTATAAGCTTAAGGATTCAGAGTTATTGTCATAAGCAAGAAGTTTTCCTTGGCAAAATATTTTTTGGGTTTTATTCAGGTAAAGCCAACCCAAATAAGTAGACAGAGAGTAATCTATTGAAAATCTCTCAGAATTCCAGTAAGGGGAAATAGAAGAATTCATTGTTTCCAAAGATTGTGTAAGAGTCTCTTCTTCATTAGGGATTGAAAATTTACAGGAATTGTGATAGTTTAAGTCGATAAAAGAGTTTTCTTGATTTAAAAGATTAATTCCCATCTCAGAAATCTCCATATACTGAGTTGGATGCAGTTTTATATACTCTTCATTCAAAGAAAACATGATTTTTGTACCTGAGCAAGAATCTATTGAATTAAAATGGTCATAGAAAAGATCTGGATCTTTCACAAAACCATATTTAAAGATTAATTTTTGGTTCTCTTCATGTTCTGATATTGTTGATCCTTTTGGAATTAAGGGCTTCATTGTATCAGAATACCAGTAACAAATTGGAGTCCAATATTTATTTTCGACCAGATTTTCTGATTTCATAATATACTTGGAGATTAAACCTACTCCAATATAATTGTTTGTTTTTGTGAAAACCATACAGGTTTCAGAAAGACGTGAAAAGGCATGTTTAAATCCAAGACCATACATTTTTAATGATGAACTTGGTTTCAGATCCGTTTGATATTCAACTAGTGAACCATTGGAATCAGTTCCAAAATGTCTAAATAGTTTATTTAAGTCTTCATAAAGAAGTCCTGAACCATTGTCTATAACAGAAATATAGTTTTTGCATATTGAAATCTCAAATAGACTAGAGTTAACTTCAGTAGAAAAGGAATTGTCTATCAAATGAGCAATAGCTCCAAAGATCCAGCTTTGAGATGAACTTAGAGGAGAGAATATAGAAGTTGAAATTGAAAAGTTCTTGTTTGGCTTTGGCTTTAAATATTTAGAAACTGAATCTAAAATTAAGGATTCTTCTGAAATAAGATTTATATTGTTTGGCTTCTGATTCTGATCTTCTTCATTACAAGTATTAGAATAGTATGGCTCCAAGCCTAATAATGAAAGTGCAAAAAACTTATTCTTCTTGGTTTTGCTCTGATCACTATTTTGATCCAACTTTTGGAGAAGAACACAGGGGATTACTGTGTTCTTATTAATGGAGAATGTCTCGAACATTAATGATGTACCTCCTAATATAGTAGTATTCGAGAAGTCATCCTGGTCAATTAGAGGGGTGAGGATTGACTTTGTAGTAGGGGAAGGATTAGAGACTCTAAGATTTTCTATACTTTTCCATTCATTTGAATTGATATCTAGAATGCTCATTTGAAGTTTTTTATTTGAGTTAAGTTCGAACCTTGAGCTTTCCATACTAAACAGAAACCAGTCTTGATTATGCTTGGCATCTTCAGAAACTGATTCTTGGTCATTCAAACAAATGGGGTAGTTTTTAATCAAAGGAGATGTGCATCCTCCGATGAAAAGCAGTTGGTTGCTGTAATTGGAGTCATTTGGAGTTCCAAGCATTAGGTCAGTAATTCTCTGAACTTTAGAATTAGTCTTGGGAAAGCTTAAAGAAATACATGCATGGAGAGAAGATGAAGGCCTTGGAGACCCCATAGAAGATATTTTGGTCCAGTGGCCTCTAATATTTAAATTCTCTATATCATGTTCACTTGAATTTATTGTAAATGACCAAATATCATTTAATAATATTCCAATGTAATTATCATCACCATCTTTTGTTCTACTTTCGCCTCCATACACCAGAAATGTTTTCTCATTAATCCAAGCCATGCTATGGCCAAACCTTGGGGTTGGAAGTTCAGTTTGGGCAGAGTTTGGTGCAGGAAGGACAGCTACCTGTGTCCATGAGTTGAATTTGGCGGAGAAAATCCAAAGATCATTAGAGGGAGAAATCTCTGTTAGACTTTTTGTAAGACCTCCAAAAACAATGACAAATTGGGAAGATTTACCAGTGGAATATTGTGGGTATGTGAGCGATGTATGGAAAAATCTGGGAGTATTTGCACAACCATTTAGTATATTCCAGCTTCTGGTTTTCATATCAAATACAGAAGTTGTCTCAGAAAAGCTGAATTTTCTGGAAGAGTCATCCCAGTAGAGCCCACCTGAAAGAAGTATCTTAGGACCAGATTGAGACATAAGTAAATTACTAGAATGGTGTATTATAGATTTTGGAGTAGGACCAAAACAACTAAAGTTGGAAACTTTTAAGGTTTCTATATTCAAGACTTGAATTTTGTCAAAAGAGTGTAAAAGAATACTTCTGATTCCTTGTTCTCTTTTTGATGTTTTTATTCCACCCAAAAATATCAAGTATGGACCACATTTAACAGAAGAATATCCCACATTGGGGATTTCTTCAGAATCAAAACCATTAAATGGGTACAGTTTAACAGAGTTTTGAAGGAAGTTCTGGATGTTTGTATAGGATAAAAGGTTTTCAAGTGGAGAAATCTCTTTTTTGAACTCAAATGAACGAAGCATCCATGAGAAGTCTAAACTACCATCATTTTCTAAGGGTCCTTCAAGAGAAGTAATTAGATGATGAAGTACTTTATCTCCCAATATTTGAGAAAAAATGAGAAATATATCGTCGTATCTAATTTCTCCCATCAAAAATAAGTTGATTGTGTCCCTAATCTGTTTTCTCTGCTCTCCCGTGGTTACTCTATCTGAGCATAAAACATTTAAAAGATTAAGTAAAGTTGGGAGTTTAGTATTAGTGCATTCATTTCCGATTTTAATATATTCTTGCTGAAGAGCAATTTCAGTTCGTAGTTCCAGTTCTTTATTCCAATGATTGAGCTTTTCCCTAAGAACATTGAATATTAGATTTAAATCTCCTTTCTCCTCTTCTTTACTAAAGTTTTTTGAAATTGCAACTATTTGTACTCGAAGCCGTTTAGAAAACCCCTCACCCATATCTTCTGGTACTGTCCTATAGTATAATTTAAAGTCAGGAGCAGAAGGTATCTGCATCACATTACAACTCTCCAAATCCAATCTTCTAAGCGCAGTTTTATCGTCCTTAATTAATATTAATGTCTCATTTTCTAAGTATATTTGTGCATTCTGAATATCACCTTTATTTTCCTCGTGATCCTTCATTTGTTCCTTGAGAGCTGTTATTTGCTTCATTAGTAATGAAGAAACAAACCTCAAATTCTATTTCCCAACAATCAAACTAACAGAATTGTTGATTGTTATGCTTTAACTCTTACATAAAAACGCTATATTTACTTACCTTAATCATTCATTACAATTATAAAATAGGCGCCAACTAATATTTCAAGTCTTATTTGGTACCCTAACATTTCAAGGGCGTAATATTAATTGAGTAATAATGGTGATGCAAAAGTGAAAGAAATTAACTGAAACTATTTTTAATTATGGTAAATTTCTACAAATCTTTTGTAGATTTTGTTGAGTTAAAGTTACTTTTAAAATGCTTTTATATCATTTTTCACTTTAATTATATTTTTAGTATATTGAGTTTTGGCGGTAACCAATTTTTTTATTTAGTTTGTGTGGAAAATATAAGTAGGTTACACATGTTTAAAGAAAATAATTGAATATTATTAAGTAGTAGGAATATAATTAAGTATGAAGAATAATTGAATAAAAGGTTTAGAAAGCAAATTTTAAATTTCTTTTTTTAGACTCACATTTAGATGGAGAACAGTAAAACAAATTACAAGGAAAATGAAAAGGTTTTGGTAAATGGAATGAATTTTGAGATACGCCCAAACTGGAAGGTAAGTTTCCTACTTAGTGGACCTTAAACTGTAAATGACATGAATAATTTGTGTAATATTAGGATAATGACATTAGTGAAATTTACAAATATAAATTACCTCCTGAAAAGCAATTGGAAAAAAGAATACAAAGGGTATCTAAGAACTACCATAAAGCATCTTCAGAATATAGAAATTACCTAGAGTCACTGAGATCCGATGAAAGAGTATTTTGGAGTCTGTGTAGAAGTGTCTCACCTGTAAGAAGTAAATCTAAAGAAAAAAGTAAATCTAGGACTGTTTATAAAGGTAAGAGTACAGATGATTCAAATATACATACAAAAAGTAGTAAAGGTTCAGATAATACCAAATATCAAACAAATCATGAAGCTGGATCTGGGATAAATTTCAGAGGTAGAAGTAAGAGAATCTACAGTTCAGAAACCAGAAATGCTTGTTCTCTTCCTCCAAATTTAGAACAGAAACAAAAAATTACTTCCAATGGAAATTTGGAAACTACTCAAGATAGAGAAAATAATGGAGAAATAGATTTATATTTAACTTATGTGAGGTTACAATCTTGTATTGAAAAGTATTCAAGGCAATTATACAATTTATGTAAAATGATGGATTTGGATTCGGAAGATGAGTTCTATGAAGATGCATATTTCGAAGAAATTAGCTATGGAATTCCTGATAGAGTTATCAAAAATACCCAAGTAGAAGACAAAAAGGGACATACAGAGATTTCTGCCAGTTTTGTTAAGACTGAGGAAAATACATTGGAGAATAAGTCCAACACTCAACCTCAAATTTCAAATGAAACAATTAATGAAACAGCTTCTAAATGGTCAACAAGACTTAGAGCTAACCAGAATTCAAGTTGTTCTCCAGGCTTTGATGCCAATAATAATCCTATCAGCCCTTCAATGAAACTCTCTAAAGCCACGCGTTCAAGATTATCTCTTAAAGAAAAGATTTCTAATATGAATCTCTCTGAAATAAATATTAAAAAACAAATTCACATTAGCAATAATTACAAAGACAAAAATATAGATCCAATTTTAAATGCCGAGGATCAGCCCATTGCTAATGTAATAATTACGCAAAATGCTCACATATCAAAACAGCCGTTTTCTTCTCTGTTTAATATGTAGGAGTGCAAATACTCAAATAGAAAGACAATAACATGCTTTTAAAAATACTTAGGCATACTCTGTCTAAAATTAAAATACATATTCCAACCAGAAAACGGACCTCAATTATACGAACTAGGCATTTAGAGATCCGACTATAGATCAGTTTAACGATATCTACGTAATTGGACAAGTTGTCTGCGACGATAGACTGCTCTTCTAGAAGGTCTGAGACGAGCAGCTCTGCCTCCTCTGACTTGTAAACCTCTTGATTTTCTGCCTGCAGCAGTAAGACCTCTTTGCTGACGGTGTTTGTGTACTGGGTTGCAGATGTAGTTGATTCTTGCATCATTGCGGATAGCTGGGTGAGCTGGGTCAACTAAGATAACCTCATAGAATTTGTAGGTGGCGTCTTGGCATACAAAGTATGAGTTCAAAACACGGAGACCACTACAGATTGACTTTCCTACTCTCTCCTCGGCAATAGCTCTTAAATTGCGAGTACTCTTCATTTTGCAAATACCCTGGTTCTTTGGCTTACCATAAACAATACCCTTAGCAACACGTTTCTTGCGGTCACCACGTCTTACTCTAACACGATATATAACATATCCTTGTTTGGCTTTGTAACCAAGTCTTCTGGCTTTATCTGGGCGTGTTGGATGACTGCATCTCATAACTGCTGGCAACTGACGGTATTCCCATGATCTAATTCTCATAAGGAAACGCAAGATGTCAGACTGTTTGCGTTTGTATAATTCCTCGAGGTACTTGTAAGCTCCCATTTTTCTAAAAAAAGTTTATATAAAAGTGAAGAATATTAATTAGTCTGCCTAAATGCTTTTTAAATATTTTTTTTTGCCGCCTTAAATTGTAATTATTTGCCTAATTATTCGTCTTTTTACATTACTTAAAACAATTAATTTGTATTTATTGTGTTTTATTACTAATTAAATATTAAAAAAATTCTTTAGAGACAAGCCAAAACTGTCCTGTTTTTATATATATTATTTAAATATTAATAAATAAATGCAATATTTATAAAAAACCGCATTCTCCCGCTTAATGGTTACCTAATAAAAACTTGTCTCAAGCGGGAAATTCCATGGCTTAAATAATATAAGAGTGCATGCAACTAAAAATAATAAGTAACTAATACAAGAAGAGTTTATTTCGATAATTTTGCTATTTAAACAAGTTGAAAATAGAAAAATATTTGAATTTTTATTAAAGTTAATTTATCAAGAGGCTTGCTAATTAATAGTAAAAAAAATAACATATGCTAGTTTATTCCTTATGACTTTGCTCATCCTGAGGAAGTTCACTACTTTCTTCATCAGGTATTCTATATACTCTAAGTACATGCTTGACGGGAGTTCTAAGAATGACGTACTGACCTTCTGGTTGTTCAGACAAAAGATCAACCAAGGCACGAACAATGCCCCATGCATTCTCTTCTTTAAGCCCCATTTGAGCGCTCAGTTCCTTAGTTTTATAGGATTGGACACTAATAATTTGGTGGCTCTCTCTATCATTAGGAGTTCTTCTAACAATATAACCAAGTTTGAGAATGTCACAACTGGAAAGTAAAGCTTGTGTTGCCCATTTGGTTAACTGACAGGCATTATTTCTAATTTCTGTTGCAAGGAGAGCACCCTTTTGACTCTCTAATTGTGTATTCCAAGTTTTAACAGTCTTTGGATCGTACTCATTTAGAGCTCGAGCAAAAATGAATCCGCTATTTTCTGATTCAGCATTTGGAATTTGAGCATCTATTTCTGTTCTTATCGCAACTCTAACGGTTTTTTGTGCATTTTCGCTGGATGATGCCCCAGCTCTTGGGGGTAGAGAGAATATACGATATCTGTAACACTTAGATTCTACATTTGCATCTTGATGTTCTTCAGAAAATGGAATTGGTTCAAATTGTTTGATAATACCTTCATCTCCATTAATTTGGATATTTTGAGTGTAATTCTGATTAGATTTCAAAGCCTCTAAGCCAAGCAAATGAGGTCTATTGTTCTTATTTACATTGTCAGGTAGAGGAGGCTCAGCTGATGTTTCATTAACAGTAATTAAATCAATAATTGAACCATCTTGTTTATCAAAGATGAGCTTCCCGTCTACATTTGTTACTAAAATATGCCATGAGTATTTTGATTGTGCAGCAGCAACCAAACATGCCAAGATCTGATCAGTAATTGCAACATCAATGTTCTTTTCTGGCTGAAGTAAAGCGTCTCTAAGTATCTCATCATCGGAAGTTGTAGGTTGAAGAAACTCCATGTTTCCAAAATCTTTCAAAGCCATTGGCAATTTTGGAGAAATACGGTCCATTGATTTATTATAACTTTTTAGTGTACCAAACCATCCAATATCTTCAATTGTTGATTTACTAACATCTAAGAATTGTTTTGGTAAAGACGAAAGAGGGATCTCTGCAACCGATATCCATGATGATAGTGGCTCTATTGACCACTCCGTTAAAGTTCTCATACGAGAAACAAATCTGTGTCGAGAATACTGATATTGTTGAGTGCCAGCTTGACGCATCTTTGCATTTTTCTTTCCTTGTCTTAGTAACATCTCTGCCTTCTCCTGTTGTTGTTGTTTCTGATGGTATGCCTGAGCTGTTTCTTTTTGAAATTTTCTTTGTACATATCGTACCTTGGTTTTCGGAAATGGACGAGAATCAACCAGATGGAAGTCTTGATTATCGGGTTGAGATGACTTTGGGTCTCTTCCTCTTGAATAACTTGTGTAAGAAAAGTCGCAAACAGCTCCCAATCTGTCAATCTTCATTGATGGGGCAAATGGAAAATTTTGTATTCCTCCTAAGCAATTTTCTTCTGCTTTAGACTCCATTGATGGAGTCCAAGTATCTGGAGAAAAATTTAATACGTAGTTAAATTTACTCATGTCTCCAATGATCTCACTAAATCTTCTTCCACTCCTTAGTTAAAAATACAAATATTGCTTCCTTTTTAGGTTTAAAATATTTAACAAGGAATGTTTATGCACTTTTTATTCGTAACTTTATATTATTCCAAACGCCGGTATTATATAAAATAATTTCCCGCCTATTTTTATTGTCTTAAAAGGGAAAAATAAATAGAATGAGGAAAAATGTTAATTTAAAAATTATATTATTAGATTATAGTGGTGGTAAATTTATATTTAATAGGATGATGTATACAAATGTGTGAAAGAAAACATTACTTTTCTTCCGAAGTTCTCAATATTGTATATTATTTGTATCACAATAATAACCTAAGATATTCAATTCACATAAGAGCAGGTATATACTTTTATCCTTCATCATTATCCTGTGATGAAATGACTTGCACTAGATTTTTGTTATTTTTACAACTCTTATTTCCTGATTTTTTTCTTGTTAACATATTATGAATGGCTTTTTGTTCGTCTAATGAATTATTTGAATTAGGATCATAATTGAATGATAACTCAGTGATGTCATCCTCATAATAGTCACTTTCGTTATCATCTTCTTGTTCAATTTGGCAAAACTCGTTATTTTGAATATTTCCAAAATCTAAATCAGGTACTTCCAGAATATCTTTATTTGAAAGAGAACTATTTTCTGGAAGCTTTCCATTAACATCAAATACTCCCATATGCACATTCATTATCACCTGCTTATCTTCATTGTAATTTTGAGTTACAGTTTCATTTCCAACAGTTTCACACAAAGAAAGAAAATTTTTGGCTCTTTTTAAAATACTATTATCAAGAAGAATTGGTTCTCTTTTCCATGGAGGAAGTTTATCTTGGCTGTCATCTTTTTTCTTGCAGTTAATAATACTGCTTTCATCGGCTTTATTATGATCAACAATTAAAACTAAATCTTCTATTCCATTGGATTCTTTTTCTTCATTAATATCTAAAAATTCTCTATTATTGACTATACTTTTCTCCTCTATCGGTTTATGCATTTTCAAATGTATACTAAATTTTTGATTTCTTTTCTTGTGAACTTTATTTGTAAATTAAGTTTATATAATATAAAATTGTATTCCTAATGATTATTTAAGATATAAGTACAGACAACTAAACATATCATTCATTTATGACCAACAAAATATGAACAAAATGAGTTCTAAATAGTTTTACTTTAATCTGTTTTTCAAATCATATTTTTAGATATTTACATAATGTTTTTATATAGGTACCGTTTTAAAAAGAAAATTATTAACAAAGTTGGCGCCTGAAATTTAAAAAATAATAATGCAATGAAGTTTAAGAACTATAAAAAGTGTGCAGAAACAAATGGGGTTTAAAGACTAAGCCTGTACTAATTAGAAAGACTTCATTGAAACGAGAAATTAAGATGAATTTAAGAAAAATGAAATTTCATTATTTTACATGTATAATAGTAATAGTTAGGCAAGGATTTAAAAGATTGCCGCCTTGAGCGGGAAAAACAATTATGAGAATAAGATTAGAGCCGCTAACAAAGTTAAGAAACTGAGAAAATTCAAAAATTGGTAATTAAATACGAATTCAGTTTGAATAACTGTGGTATATATAAAAATACGAGATATTCATAAAACTTCAGTAGAGATTTTTAATTGATACAGGGAAATGTCAGTATCAGGAAAGAATGGGACAGGCTCATCAGCCTTAATTCAAAAGTTAATGGATGCTGAGGTAGATGCTGAGGAAATTGTTCGTCGTGCAAAGGAAAATAGAATTTTAAAGCTCAAGGAAGCTCAGATTTCTGCAGAAGAAGAGTTAAAGGTATTTAGAGAAAAGGAAGAAGCTCAGTTTGAATCCGAGTTTAAAAACCTTTCAGTAGAAGATTCTGTAGATCAAGTTTTGGAAAAATCAACAGAAGAAGCAATTGAGCTAGTTAAAAATGATTTCAAAAACAATGGAGGAGCTGTTGCAGATTTGATGCTAAAGAAGGTGTTATCTGTGGACCTTTCCTTATCTCCCACAGTTATTCACTTGGCTAAAATTGGGAGGATTCATTAATATGATTGGAAATGTTCTCTTAATATTTCAATACAATTTAGAATTCTGTTTGATTCAAAAACAGTTTATCAGAAAAATATTAAATCTTATTATTAACTAATACCTGCAGTTTATTTATTTTTGTTTTGATTGGTGTTTATCAACAATGTTTAAAATCCATTCACTAAGTAGCTCTTTTTGCTCAACAATGTTTGATGAGTTATTAACACACTCTTTAATGTACTCCACAATCTCTGTTGAAAGATTATCATCTACATTGTAATGAAATTCTTGCTTTTCCTCCTCTTTATCTTCCTTATGTTCAGAATCAAAGTGAAAGTTTAGTTTAAAAGGAGAGAATTTGGAATTGTATAATCTGCAGGACTTCTCGATTGAATCTTTTACATTTCTCTGAATTTTATATACTGCTTTCTTAGAATCATTTCTAACAGACTCTGACATTTCAAAGTTCCCCACTTCTTCATTTTCTAATTTATATGATAGCAATTCTGGTAAGTAAAATATATTCTTAATAAAAAATAACAAAGCTAAAATATTATTTTGAATCTTTGATTGCCATTCGTCAGGAATGTACAACAAACCATTACTATTGTTAACTAAGGGATGTGCTGGCGGATTTAAAAACTCTACTTTATGGGTTTTTAGCCCTGATCCATCCGATGTATACTCTCCTTCTAATGCTAATTCTATTTGAAACCTATAGAATGATCTTGCATATAAACCAGAACGTACAAAAATGCCTCCCTGCCATGTGTATATATTTTCATATTCTGGTACAACATATAATCCATCTGGAGAAAATTCTAATAAACATGAATAATCTATTAAACATTTGTAATCCAAAATGATTTGTCTTACTAATTTATCATCGTTGTTTCCATTAGGTCGATTTTTCTTTAATAACTGATCGGATCTTATGGGAAAGTATGTTAGTCTTGAATTTTCTACTTCCAAAGTTGTTGGATTCCACAATGCCAAATTCATTAGGTATTTCTTATATTTTGTTAACCAAATATAAATTTATTAAATCTAATTTCTTCTTATCTATACGATTTATTTTCAAAAAAAATTTATTTTCTGTTCTTTTGATTTCTTTTTTAACACTTTTTTTTAAATCTTATTTCTGCACACTAAATATTAATGCTAGTATTTATTTTTTTTCTTAAAATAATTCTTTTTTCTACTAAATCTTATAATTATTAAAATATACTAATTTTTTACCTTAATATCTTTGTTTTGCATTGACATTCTCTTCTATTTATATTTCTAATTTTTTACTACATTACACTTCTACTTGAACACCATTTTTTTTTTTATGCATACATATTCTTTTAATAAATTAACTTTTATGCTTTTTTAATGACCGCCTAAAAAATGGCGCCACATTGGCATGTCAATTTTTCATTTTTTAAATGTGTGAAAATAATTAATGGTAATAGTAAATTTTTTTATTAACCATGAAATGTATTTATTTGAAAGTTATTGTCTCAAAAGATATTTCTCTATTTTTTAAAATGTAATTATCATAAAACGAGTTCATCAGTAATATAATAATTAATTCTAGTAGTATTTGCTTTAGAAAACAAAAGTTAATTTACCTACTAAAGTTACTAATTTACTTTATTACTGATAAAAAATATATATCTAAAAATTTACTTCTAATTTCATATAATAAATATTATTGTAGAAATACGTGCAAAAATAACTAAATGTAAACATTTTCAAAAACTATATTATTTCAATTAAATATTTATTTTTTAATTGAGCTGTATTGAGTTTATTTATGGTATCAAAGGAAATATTATACTGAGATTTTGCTTTAAAATGCATTTATCTACTCTCAAAAAAATAGAAAATTCAAATGTATACTAATAGTATAATCGATATTTCTAAATAGCTTAAATCAAAAATAATCTTTTCTATGATATAAATTAAAATATTACCAGTTTTTAAGATATCTACCTGTCTACAATTTCCAAAATGAATAATGTTTAAGTACTTATTTAAAGAGAAAAAGTAAAGATATTCAATCAAACTGGACAGTAATAACTGCAAATACCGGGTGATGATCACTAATCTGACATTTTTGATCACTTTTATAGTCAATTATCGAGACTGTATACCCATTCAAACAATTAAAATCAAAGGAATCATCTTGTTGATTAGTTCTAGTATCAGTTATACGAGATAATTCGGAACCTTTTGATAAAACAAAAATTCTGTCACACCAAGAAGGGGTTCTAGAGGGATCATAACTATATTCACCTCTGATATACTTATAAGTTGGTAAAAAAGAAATTTCTCCCTCAAATAACTTGGACATAATCTCATTATCTGATTTCTTCTCTAAAAAAAATTGGTCAAATTTAAGTAGCTCACTCAAGTTTTGCTCTTTTATTAAGTCCATTACTTTTTGTTTGGGAAGCTGAATTCTAAAGTTAAAATCTCCAGCAAGAATAACTAAATCGTGGTCTTGTAGAGAAGCACCACTTCTTAGAAAACCTTTAAAATTAGGGATTTCATTAAAAACAGAAGACTGAAGAATTAGCTTAAGCTGTGAATTTCTTTCTTCTCTATATTGTTCTCCAGAGACCAGATGGACGTTGGTTAGTACAATACTTCCGTATCTCTCTATATTCATTCTTATCATTACTGCTCCTTTATTACCAGTATTACCCATGAGGCCAAGTTTCATTGAATTTGACTCCACAGATTTAACAAAACGGTGGAAAGATCTTCTGACAAAAACTACACAAAAAAGACCAACCAAACTAATACTGTGGAGCTTTACGTATTTATCAGCTCCTAAAGACTGAAGAGCCAACATTTCAAATGTGGCCTCTCTGTTTTTATCATTCTGATTAAACATTACACGAACACTACTTAATTCAACAATTTCTTGTACACAAAAACAAACAATACTAGTGTTTTTAGGTAGGTTTGCTTCAATCCAAGCATCCAAACCTACATTTAAAGTTTGACCTCCAAGGTTCCAGGAACAAATCCAAATAGTGAGTTTCTCATTATTCAAATCTTTAGAACTTAAACTTAAGGATTCAGGTAAACTCTGGACTTGTACTGACTTCTTTGATAAATTACCTTTGAATAAATCATCTGTCTGACCTAGTATATTTGAGTTAGATGGATGCTTATATAACAGACAGTCTATATATTGTTGTCTTGAAGAATCTTCAAAGGTATTATGATACAATCTTCTTAAAGATTTTACTGCATGATCAAGGTTTGTAGAGAGAGAAACTTTTCTATTTTTAATTACTCCACTAAATACACTCCCTGCTCCAGTATAATGCTCACTTATAACATCTCCATTCTCTGCCCATAATAAGCTAAAAGAGTCCTTCAAAGTAACCACCCCCATACCATTTAACAAACAGTTTCTAAAAATTTCAAATGAAGACAAATTTCTCTTATTTGACTGTGAAAATTCTTTGGATCTGTAATCATCTAAATCCATTGTTGAAATATTTCTGTTCATATCAAGATTACTTATTGAAACAGAGCTGTTATAATTTTTACCTGCAGATTTTTTCATTATAAATAAATGTCTCTGTCCAATATCTCTACATTCTGTTTGAATAGATGAACTTCTAGTCTCAAAATCCCCTTTGTTTATTTTAGAAGGTATTATTGGATTTGACAAAGTAAGAGGAGATCTCATTACCTTACTTTGAGTCTGATTTCTTAAGCTACTGGAAAGAGAAGAGTTCACAGATTTTGGAATTAATATCTGATCCAAATTCTTACCATTAATAATCTCCAAAATATTGGTTTCTTCTGTTTGACTCTTTTCACCACTATTTAAAATTAATTGAAACCATCCAAAATGTGATAGTTGACTATTTAGTAAAGATTTAACAAAACCTTCTTGAGATATATTACTAACTTTTTCCTTATTTTGTAAGCCATTGCTTTCTAATGAACATGTTGAAATAGATAAAATCAAATCTACAAACCAAGTCCATGCTATATACCACTGTAAAGCATTTGTTCTATCCAAACAATCCAAACAGTTGGTTCTTATTACTCCTTTTTGTCTCATCTTAATAACAAGTTCACTCTTTTGATCAACTTTTAACACTAATGAATTGTTACTATTCTCTAAAACTTCCTCTCTAGTTTCAAAATCATCCAGATCTAAAAGATTTGCAAAAGAAACAGGTTCTTGGTTATTACTTGAAGTAGTTTCAGAACAAGGTTTAGAGTTAGAGCTTGAAAATACACCATGGAAATAACCAATTCTATCTCCAAAGTCTTTAGCTAGAATTGAAACGTACTCATTTAATGCACTTTCAAATCCTTGATTCTTTACCTTTTGGTGGTAATCATAGTTTGTATAAACAATAGGAATTGCTTTGCAGCTACAAAAACAAAAATCATCTTGATTAGATTCATGTTTTTTTTTGCAGTCACATACTAACCCTGTCTCAGAGTCCTCAGAATATTTAATATTGTCATATTTGCTTTCAATATTCAAATTATAATAGTTAATTTCCTTCTTTAAACCCAAACTTAAAGCTTGTTCATGAGCTGAAGAACCCAATAAATTAACATAAAAAACCTCTCCATACTGTTTAACAAGCTTAACATGATGCTTTTCAAACATATAACTAGAATAGTCATGATCAAAACATGTGATTGCACAAGAGTTTACACCAGTTTGCTCCCAAAATAGAGGAATTGAACCTCTAATTTGAGTAAATGCAAACCAATGATCAGAATTGTTTATACATATCTGTAACTCTGACTCAACAAAGTTTGCAACATTTGCATTTTCATCTATACCCCTTGCATTAAAGCGTGTTCCACCCCTTTCCCATGATCTCCTGGACATCAAAACAATATCATATCTTGTTAATGAGTCCACATAATCACGGTAACACATTTTGCATGCAAACTTATGTCTACATGCAACCATTCCATTATCACTACATGCACATTTTTGTTCACATGTAGCTGAATTGGTGCTTTTATTAATTTGGGGAAATAATTCATCAAGATCAGTAAAAGAGTTGATGAGATTCATTCTAAGAGAAAGAATATCAGGACCAATTTTAATATATCCAGGACCTTCAGGGGAGATAACTATAGCTTGATTACAAAAATACCCTTGTATTAGAGGAGTTATCCACCGAGGATCTACACCAGAAATGAGAACTGGAAGAGAGATATTTCTGTTCCAAATGAACCTAGAGTCACCAGTAATTATATAAGCTTTGTTTTTCATTTCAGAAAGAGTTTCTCCGTTTTCACCTAAAGTTCCCACTCTTTCTTTGTGATCAATCCAGGAATTTTCAAACTTTGTTTGAAGAGTATGTGTAATATCCAGATCAAAACTGTAAAAAAACCCTCCTAAAGAAATCATTTTTGTAACCCCTTCAATAAGCCTTTCTAAATGGCTCCTTCTCTCAATTAGAAGCTCTTCCAAAGAAAGGGGTGAATTTGAGTCTTTTGTTTTTGATAAATTTTCAATAGAACTAAAAGAAAGGTCTTTTGATAAATAATTTGTTGGTGAACTACTAGTACTTAATATTGGGTTACTTTGTTGTATATTAATTGAATTTGAAAGTGCAGTGGAGACTGTACTTAATATTCCCGAAGATACATTGATAAGAGAGTTACTTATCCAATTAGCTCCTGATTCAGTCAGAAGCGAAAATGATTCCTTATTTCCTTTTATTGGAGAGAGTTTTTGCAATGTTGAAGAAACCCTATTAATCCACTCTATTTTCTCACTAGATTTGCTTGTTTTAATATCTTGTTGGTTTTTACCAGCCTTGAGATGATCAACTACAAGTTCAGACTGTTTTTTAGAGAACTCAGTAGTTAATTTAAGAGTATCTTTTTCATTCTGACTTGTTGTTGGATGATCTAAATTGAAGAACTGGGTTTCTATAGAGTTTGAAAATAAAGGAATTGCTAAAGATTTGGTTACTCTGTTAATTGTTTTGTAAGCTCCATTTTGGTAAATCACACTTGATATATCCCCATCAGTAGAAACCAACAAATAAGGTTCTTCAAAAACAAATAAAATACCAAAAATTGCCAAGGCTTTTATAGAAGCTATAGAAAAGCCAGAAAAATCCAAGCCTTGGCTTCCAATTATACTTGCCTGATTTGCATCAAGCTTTTGACTAGAGTTTGTTTTGTGTAGTTCTGAGCTATGAAAAGGTATATTAGTCTCATTTCTCATTGAATTGCGATGTGAAGGACTATCTCCCCACTGACTCATTGGTGAGTCCCAAGGATTAATTATAAGTATACCACTTTCATCTTTTTCAAGTACATTTCCTATAATATTTCCATCAATATTATTTTCTGAATTCAAAAATTCTGGAGGTCCATATAAGCTTCTAAGCTCAGTTAAAAGAGGAATATCTTCTTCTGATAATATCTCAAAAATACAATTACTGGTAAAATCATAAAGCTGTTTAGTTTCAATACTCAAAGGCTCAGAATATAAATCCTTATAAATTTCAACAAATTCATCCAAGGATTTATTTTTTCTGTACTTTGAGATTTGTTCAATTGATTTAATTTCTTTTAAATGATTGATTCCTTTTGGTCTTAGAATAACCAAGCGTGGAAAAGATATTGTTTGCTCATCGAATAAAGTGACTCTAGAAGATGTAGGATTTGGGTCTATATCCTCAACAGAAATTTCTAATCCGCCTACAAAAGTGTGGATTTTATAGTAAAACTCTTGTGAGCATTCTCCATTATGGATACATTTCCATCTAGTCTTCGAACATCCCATTATATTAAACCTTCTCACCTCTCTGAAAAAATCAGAGAAGAGCAAAATAACCTTCTTATTCGAACTAACTTTCTTTTATTAACATAACTTAACTCATTAATTTTATTTACTTACTCACATTTCAGTTTCTTATGGTTATTATTGTGAATCTTTTTTTAAAGGCGGTCACATATTTGGCGCCTAAAGAAGGTTTTTATTTATTAATATAATTTAGGTAAAAATTATGCATATTAAAGATGAGAATAATTGTAAAGCAAGAAAACTCGTAAAAGCTTAGAAGATATATATATATATATGTAGTGTACTATTGATGCTTTAAAATTACAACTAGTTGTGCTGCAATGTGATAAGAGGAAGATAATAAAAGTTAATGTTACGTAATAATTCGTAGTGACAAATTAGTGAGAGGTCTGTAGGAAAATAAAGTGGGGACTAGAAATAATAGGATTAAGCTAGGTTAGTTAATTAAAGTTAATTAAATTATATATACTAAAACAATATAAGTTATTATTGGATATTAGTGTTGTTTAGATTTGAAATGTGAGGTTCAATTTTTGGAGGTAGATTAGGATCATGACTAGAATACTGGGCATGGTTATTGTTTATAATGGTATGTGGATTTTCTGGATTTCTATTAGGTTGCATTTGATTTGCAATGTGAAATTGGGCTTGCCTATTCATATCCAAGTTGACACCATCTATTGAATTGCTCTGCTTAAAGTTTGGATTAGAATTTGTGTTATGGTTATGACTTAGATGAGAAACCATTTTGGAGTTATCAAAAATATTTTGATGGTGCGAGGAATGTCCTTGGCGGATTTGATGAGAAGGGATATCATTAGTGGTGGAATGAGCTTGGAAATGTTGTTGTTGCTGAAAGTTTTGGTGGTATTGCTGCCCAGAAACTTGACTAATGCCTCCTGAATCATACTGATGAATTTGATCAGTATTTTGAGATTGGAATTGTGGATCGATCATAGAGTCTGGTCTTGAATTTGTAAGACCCTGAAACTTGGAGTTTTGAGTCTTTTGGTTAGGTGGAGATCTAGCATAAATTTCAGACTTTTGTGGAAAAGTTCCTCCAGGAGGAAGATTTAATTCGGGTTGTTGGTGCATTATTTGTGAGCTCTTTGATTCACTTACAGGACTTTGATCAGCCATAGATTGTTGAGGAAACATACCTGCAACTTCAGAAGGTCTAAGAGAATAGTAATTTTCACGAATATTTTGAATATCTAGAGTAATCTGAGCAATTTCAGCCCTCAAGGATGCCATCTCGTTTTGAATAGAAACATGGGCAGCTGCCAATGTTTTTTCAAAAGTAAACTTATCAGTCTTATGAAAATATGGTTGTAGTCTATGTTGAGCCATGGGTTGAATTGGGCCAGAAATCAGTTTTTCATAGAATTTCTCCGTTGGCTCATAGAAAATGAATTCATCATAGGTTTCTGAAGCAACACATTCAGAAGGAGTATTGTCTGAAGGGAATTTTACACTTCTTACATCAGTTGTACCTGGTGGGTATAATCTCAAAAAATGCTTAATTTCTACAGGTTTTTCAGATGAGTCAACAAAATAAATTTTTGCCATAATATCGAACTCTCCCCAACCACATTCTGTGACTTCAAAGGGGCATTTTTCAACAACTCTGTTTGGATTAAGAAAACTTGGATGAAGAGAAAAAACAACCTTTTTAACATAATATGAAATATCTTCATTATCAGGAGATCTTAAAAAACAAGTCCAAGAATGAGTTGCATTATCACCTCTTTTCTTTTGCTCTGCAATTGAAAGCATGAAAGCATAGGTTCCAAGAATAATAGGTTTTCTAATTGTCACATTCTTTCTTCTTCTATTTTCTATACTGGAGATTGCTGTAATACCTGATGATGACATTTTAATCCTAGAACTAGCATCCGCCATTTCAATCCTGCTTTAATTGACTAACTAGTTACCCAGAAATAATTTTGATCTTGAGTGAATCCAATTTTGACCTTACCAATTCGAAAATTCTAATTTTATGCTAATTTGATTCACTATTATTATAACATAATAGATTCCTAACTACTATATAACATTACCATATGTTTTTTTTAATCAATTATATTGCCTGGATTTAATTTTTCCCTGCAATATTTATTTCTATTTGTTTTTCCCCTTTTATACACATAACACAATTTGGCGCCACCTGTGTCGGTACTTAGCGGTAACTAATAAAATAATTAATTAATTTAAGAAATAAATTAACGAAAATATTAATGAGAAAAACAATTGTTGCATAAAAGGAGAAATTTAAAATAGCTATTTTATTAGATTAATCAATTAACAGCGAATATACACTTTAGTCTATGAGGTTGAAGAATATTATTTATTATAACACATCAATTTGAAAAATCTACAGATTTGACATAATTGCCACACATAATCAAAATAATAGATTATCTTTATTCCAATATATTAGGAAACATGTTTTTGTAATAAACTTGACATTATTACATATCATCACTTGTATCTAAAACTACTACTATATTTATACCATTTTTTTTGCTAGATAATTTATTAAAATTAATATTGGTTTTTCAAAAAAAGTAAAAAAAAGGCGCCAAACGTTGTGGTATCGGACATTAAAAATTTGGTAAGAATACAGAATTTTCCCTAATATTAAAACGAAATTAAGGATTAAAAGAATTAGTTAAGAAATATGTGTTTAAGACAACATCTTCGTTGTAGTCTATTAAAAGTAACTATTTTTGGTGCAGGAAGTTTTGGATCAGCAATTAGTTGTATTGTAGGATATAATACAGAGAGGACTTTAATTTTTAACAATGAAGTAAAACTATGGCTATATGACGAAAAGGTAGAGTCTGGGGAGTCTTTGGCAGATGTGATTAACCGAGATCATGTGAATGTTAAGTATTTGCCAGATTTTAAACTTCCCAGTAATGTTAGGGCTGTGACAGATTTAAAGGAGGCCTGTGAAGATTGTAATTTAATGATATTTGTTATTCCAAGCCAATTTGTCCGTTCTGTGGCATCACAAATTAGAAAGCTTGATTTGGATTTTTCTAAGGCTGTTAGAGCAGTATCCTTAACAAAAGGTTTTCTTGTAGAAAACGGTCATCCTTTTCTAATTAGCAATATTATTCAAGAAGAATTGGGAATAGACTGTTGTGTTCTATCAGGTGCAAATGTAGCTTCGGGCTTAGCAGCTAGAGAGTTTGGTGAAGCAACTTTGGCTTGTTCAGACTATGATGATGCTTATATTTGGCAATATCTATTTGACACTCCTTGGTTTAAAATAGATTGTGTTCCTGATGTAATTTGTACCGAGCTTTTTGGAGGATTAAAGAATATTATTGCACTGTTAGTAGGAATGATACAAGGGTTAGGATGTGGTACAAACACTGTTTCTGCCGTTATGAGGTTGGGAGTGCTTGAAATGATTCTATATGGAAGTATTTTCTTCAATATTAGAAGTTCGATTATGACCAGAGTTTTCTTTGAATCCTGTGGTATTGCTGACCTAGTTACTACTTGCTTAGGTGGAAGAAATGTTAGGGGCGGCAAAGCTTTCACATTATCAAATGGACAAAAATCTTGGGAAGAAATTGAAGCTGAAGTAACTGGAGGCCAACATCTTGCTGGGCTTGTTACTCTTAAGGAAATCAATGAAACTCTTGAAGTTTTATTGATTGAAAAGTCTATTGATGTAGACAAACACTTTCCGCTCTTTAGAAGCTGCTTCAAAATTGCTTACACTGGAGCTCCTCCCAGATCACTAATTGATATTCTAGGAAGAAATGAACTCAGAGAACTTAGATTCGTTCCATCTGGGCTCCTTTCCTTAATAGATGACAGCCCAAACCATGGAGAAGTTATGCAAAGATCCTCTTCCAGACAAGTAGGTTCACTTATTTTATCTAAAACACAAAGTTGTATGCAATATTAATAAGCAAGCTTAGCATTAAAAAACTAATATTACCAATTCCATACTTAAAAATGGTTCTTCTATTAGTTATAACGAGTTTTAAGGTTCAGGACAAACTTTAATTTACAAATCTCTATTTCTTGCTAATTTTGCTTTCTAAACAGAATACTTGGAGAAAAAGAAATACCTATTCAACATGCCAGTTATTATTCATTTATTACATATAAACTAAATAACATTAAATATTAATTCTTTTTTTCACACAGCTTTACAAATTTTATCTATGCACATTCTCAATAATCATTTTATTCATCCGACAATATTTCTTTTTACTCTCTAAAATCTAAAAATCATTTTCCCTTAATTTGTTCAATATAGCGCGTCTCCGTCATGTCTACTGCCGGTATAGGACATTAAATATTGATTAAATATTTGACAATAAATTTGTATGTAAAATGAAAATGGATAGGTCTCTATTCACCATCTCTCTGATAATTAAATAAAATAAAAATGGAGTAGAGATAAGGTACAAGGTGAAATTAAGTTTTTTATTTTTATTACTAGAAAATAGTAATTAAGTAAAATTTAATATTTTTCAACGAAATATCAATTTTCAATAGAATTTAGTATTTAATAAAGATGTTTTGCGGATTAATTATTAAGCCAGGTCAAAAGGTTAAGTTGGATTCAACTCAGGGAGAGATTTTACATTTAAGTCAGGCATGTCTGTCTGAACCAAAGGACAATGGAAGAGTTTATGTTCAAGCCATAGATAATGGTACTGCATATACTATTTGTTCATTACAAAAAGGTACTGTTGAGCATGCTAGCTTGGACTTATTCCTTTCTACATCAGCAGAGATTGAACTTTCCGTAATAGGAAAGAATGAAGTACACATTTCTGGATTTTACGAACCAGAAATGGATGAGGAAGACTTTGATGATGAGGATGCTTTAATGGGAATGTCTGATGAGGATGAAGAGGAGCTTGAATTGGAAAATTCCAAGGCTGATAATAAAAAGAATCTCAAGAGGAAGTTACCATCTAAATCTGATGATTCTACTGATGAAGAGATTGAAGACGAAGAAATCGATAGTGATGAAGCTGATGATTTGGACTTAGATGAGCTAATTCAAGACAATGATGATGAAGAAGATGAAGACGAAGATGATGATGATGATGAAGATGACTTAGATGATTTAGAGGATGAGGAGGAGGAAGAAGAAGAGGAAGAGGAAGACTCTGTTAAAATCTCCTCTACTAAGAATAAGAACAAACAATCAGCATCATCTACTTCTCAAAAGGCAAAATCTACAGATTCTCAGCCACCTTCAAAGAAGAGTCGTGTAGAATCAAAGTCTCAAAGCAAACCAGATCAACTTTATGAGGAATCTATTATTGACTTTTTAAAGAAGAACGGTAGAACTAACATGGCTATGATTGGAAATAAAATCAAAAGACCAGAAGGTGTTTCAAAGAAGCTAGGATCTTTCATTGCAGAGAGAACTGACATCTTTAAGGTAGAAAATAACATGATTTCACTTGTTAAGTAGGAAATTTATACTAAAATAGTCGTTAGAAAATAAGAAAAAGTAGTTTAGCTAATTAATTTGCTAATTCTATAGACATTTTGTTTTTATTAGCAGTAATTAATTTTCGATCATTTAGGAATTAAAACAAAGTAGTAAGAAACCCCATACCATGCTTAAGAAATGCTATAATCATACTCAAATTGGAATTCATTTATAATGGAAGTCTCCTTTGATCATAAATCCATTCAGAAAGCTGCTTAATTCCTGGAAGCTCTAAGATAAAACTTAATGGAGAAAGCTTTATATAGGAAACAATATTTGGCAAGAAACTGTTAAAAAGGTAAAACAAACCAAACATTTGTAAAATGAATCCAATAATTGTACTTCTCACTATAATTACAAACAATCCTCCGAAATAAAACAATGTTCCTTTAAGTTTATCAGGTTTTAAGAAGAATCTGGTTACTTTACTTAACCCCAAAACTAGTGTTAGTCCTGCGACAAATGTAAGGTTTCCAATAGTTAACAATGCCTTATCAAAAAAGAATAAGACTCCCAAAACTATCAAAATCATCCCAAGGCCACAACACCCAAGGCCTATCTTTCTATTATCATCCATCATATTTTCTATATTAATATATATATATAATATATATATATATTATATAGTACTGTTGTATTGTGTATTTTGGCTCCCTACTTTAAGCCTTTATATTGTTGATTCAAAGTCTTAGTTAAATTATTGTTGATCAGCAAACTATAATATATAGACTCACTTGATTTTCACCTTTATTCATATAATTTCCGTTAAATTCACCTGAGTAACTTTGCACACTCCTACAACATGTAAAAGCTGAGATATTTCTGAATTTACCAATTTATTAGACGTGCTCTACCAAAATGATTCTTTTTCAAAATCAATATATAAAAAGTTTAATTGATTTTTCTTCAGTTTTTAACTTCTAATAAATATGTTATTTTTTTATTCTTAATTTTAATTTCAGAATTTGATTTCCAATTCTCATTAATTGTTTTCCCACTTATTGTTTTCAATTATTTTTTTTTTGACCCTCATTTCTAAGAATATATATATATTAATTAACCTTCAAGTACTACAAATGGCGGCAAGTTTTGGCGCCGAATATATTTGATTATTTAGTACAAAAATAAAGTTAATGTGTGATAATATTTGGGAATATTAGGAGTGAAAGTGGATGATACTGATAAACAAAGTTGCAATTGATGCTCATTTTTGGGGATAGTTAGGTGTTGGAATTGATTTTACAGGTTAGGAGATAGAGGTGTCAAGACAAAGGCTTAAGGTGTTAAATAGTACATATTTGAGGATTGCTGAGCTTGGTTTATTAAGAATAACACGATATATTGGTTATTTGGCCATTTCTCTGCTGAGGGGTAAATATGGAAGATGGTATAGGAGTTATATGTGGGAAAGAAGGGGACTATGGTGATAAGTTAGTTAATAAATACGATGTATTAAGTTATATAGACAGTATATCTCCGGAAGAAATGCAATATGCAAATAAATTGGTTAAAGATGAATTATCATCTGTTTTGAGTGGGCTTAAAAATGAAGGTGAGAAAAAAGAAAAGAATTATTTAGAAAAGAAGAAAGCTGAGATAGAGTTTAACAAGAGAGAAGAACAACCTGAAATAGAAGACAAGACAATGGGAAAGATAAAACGAATAAGTTCGGAGATTCAGTACAATTATATCACAAGAGTAAATTTACAATTACTTAAGGAATTTGGGGATGAAGCATGGGATGATCAAGTTAAGAAGCTTAAAAGCCTCAAACAAAAGTTTCAAGAAGAGCAAAATAACTTGAAAAAATGTATGAAGCAGATTTCTCTAAACAGAAAGAAGAAACAATTAGAATTCCGAGAAAACCAGCTGGGTCCCTTATTAGATGACCTGAAAAGAATTCAGAACGAAAATAACAGCCTGGTTAAGACTTTACTTAAGATTAGAAAAGAGAATAGAAAATAAACTGAAAATAGTTAGAATATTAGTCTATCTTAGAATCAGGATTAAAAAAAAGTATATATATTAATAACTTTTCAATAATTTGTATCGCATCTTCTAGATTTTAATACCTTGAAATGAAACAAGACAGCAAGATTTCAAAGATTTCACTTTAATATGAGCTGGAAAGTATAGATTAGTAGAATACACATGAATTTGTACTAAAAAAATCTCAGTATAGTTAGAATCAGATCTAGAACATTATAATGATGGTACATTAATCATACCAAAATATAAAGTACTGAAAGATCTAATATATGAAATCTCTTTCTGCATCATATTAAGCGTGGTGTTTCTATTAAAAATTTATTGTCAAGTTTCAGAATAATCTGTAATAGATTGAAATATTGATTATACACTACCAATATTAATTTACTTTTTTCCACCAGATATCTTAGCTTTTTCGGTACCTCTAACCTTCTTTCTTCTGTTCTTAGTTTCTTTTCTACCCTTACGTCCAGTTGCTGTAATTTTCTCAGCAATACCCATTCTGACTTGACGATATCTGTGTTCAAACTTCTTCAAGGCACTGATATTATTATATATTACACAGAAACCTGAGGATCTTCCACCACCAAAGGCAGTTTTGAAACCAAATAATACAATACAGTTCGCATCTTGAACCTTGTATAACTTAGCTAGCTTGGCTTTCAAGTCAGACTTGCTAACTCCTCCCAATGATGGATGAATAACATCAACAACAAACTGCTTTCTGGCTAAGAGAGGATTGTTTAAAAATTGACGTACTCTAACTGTAAAGTTATTCATTGTTATATTTCTTGGATGATTAGAAACAACAAATTTGTCCTGGGAGAATTTTTTTTTCTTCTAAAAAATAATTCCGCTTAATTAATTTAACTAAACATAAATATATTTGTACAATAATAGTAACAATAATAGCAATAATAATAACATATTTAATTCTAAACTACCTTACACGTCTCCTAATTAATATTAGTAATTATTTGTGCCATTATTTATTAATTTTCAATTATTATTGTACATATAATGTCTCATTTTTTTGCCAATATTGTAGCTGCTAATAATTAATATTTATTTACTTTTGAATTATTTTCGTCTCGGCATCACATGTACCCGCCTAATTTTGGCGCTAGCCACGTAATTAAATAGAAAAATGTTAAATTGACAATAGACTGATATGTTAAATAAATTAATTAAGGGAAATCTTAAATTTTCTTAGAAATTTGCTTTTTCATTTAAATTAAAATCAAGATTTGTATTTGGAGCAGAATTACTCAAAAATAATTCTTACTAAAAATCCCCTCAAAATTATAATAGAGTATTATGGTATGAGAAAAATACCACTAAATAATAATTTAGCTTAAACTTAAATTTGGTTTTGGTTTGTTAGAAACATTCAAATTGGTGTTTACAAGTTCAGATCGAAGAAAAGAAAAAATAAATAGATCTAACTAAAAGACTCTAAATTTTAGAAACAGGTTTTGCATGCTTAAAAATTTAATGAAAACTAAAAATGAGTAAAAAAGAAAAAAAACAAATATCCAATAACAATACCGGTAGTACAAAGGCTAAAAGTAAATCATCCAAAAATGCAAAAGATAAAGTGGATAAAGAAACAGAATTAGCTAATAAGGAAATCAATTTGAAGAGTATCAAAAATAAAATTAAGAGGGTAGAACTTGCAAATCAACTTAAACGTGAGAAGAAACTAGAAAAAAGCAAACGAAGAAGAGAAAATAGAGAAAAAGAACAAAGGGGAGAGGAGGTAGTTAAAGGTACGCCTAGAACAATAGAAAATACCCGGGAAATTGATGAGACTTTTGTTCATGATCCTTTAAACGACAGTGAATTGCATAAAGAAATGGAAAATGATGAATTTTCTGATTATTTCTCAAAAAAAAGATCTCCTAAATTGCTAATCACTACTAATAATAGGGCCAGCAAACATATGTATAACTTTCTTAAAGAAATTGTTTCAATAATTCCTAATTGTGATTTCTACAAAAGAAATGGATTTAATATTAAGGATATTATTAAAGAAGTGAATGAAAAAGGCACCGAAGATAACTATACGGATATACTCATATTTACTGAACATCCAATAAAGAAAATACCATGGGGGTTATATATATGCCATCTACCTATTGGGCCTACAAGCTATTTTAGAATTAGATCAGTTAAACTTGCTCAAGATATGAAAGGTTCAGCTTTTTCCACTACTCATAACCCAGAAGTCATTTTGAATAATTTTGATACTAGAATTGGTTATAGAATTGGAAGACAATTAGCTTCTTTGTTCCCATTTAATCCTGATTTTGCTGGTAGAAGAGTTATTGCATTTCATAACCAAAGAGATTTTATTTTTTTTAGACACTATAGATATATTTTCCGCAAAAAAAGGACTCCAAACACCAAAAATGCTGAGGAACAGCAAGATCAAGCTATTAATAGTGCCGGATTGCAGGAGATTGGCCCGAGATTTACATTAAAATTAATGTGGATACAGGAAGGTACATTTAATACTAAAAAGGGTATTTACGAATACTTATGGAGACCTGATTTACAGGTAAATAGGAAGGTCTTCTTTTTATAATTAAATATATTCTGATTTTTTTTCTATATAAATTCACTATGATTTACCTTTATAAATTATATTTTGTATACATTTTATTTTCTTTTACTCATATTTACATTATGCATGCAGAACCCGCCTTCCCCATATTATTTATTCAATGGACTATAATCGGTTTTACTCAATATTTAAAACGCCCCCCTCATTTTTTTTAAAATTCATATTATTTACATTGACGTAAATTAATACTCAACTTCTGCAAATCGATATATCATTAGTATCTCTAATTAACATTCTCACTTTTAATTAAATGAATAGAATTAGAAGTAAAATTTTTATTTAATGTTTGACGGTAATATAATTAGTGTAATATATTTTGATTATGTTTTTAAGTGCATGCAATTTACTTAATTGTTAGTTTCATTATATATTCTGGCGGGAACATTTTGTTGTTTAAATTTGTCAAAAAGAGGGGAAACAATTGTGAGCAATCAAAAAATTTAATTTTTTTTCCAAAGAAATGACAAAGATGAATCGAACTAGCCTTAGAAAGGCGAATTTTCTCTAGAATAAAGGGTCAAAAATAGACTGAGAAAGTGGTACAGTGAAGTCTTTTTACTGGCATTTATAAGTAAAGCTTAAGTAAGCATTTACCCCACTTAGTAAATATTTCTTGGAGCTATTAGACCTACATTTACTTACTAGAGAATTATAATTTGTGTACAATTCCCCCTCTTAATAGAAGGAGTGGACTAATTAAAATGTTGGGAAGTAGGAAATACCGTCGTTGGTTGAATAGTCAATTACTAATTAACAGAGGGAGAGCATTTCAGATTCACCAATACTGTGATAATTATGAATTTGATGAGATTGAATCAATCATAATTTCTTCTTCTTTTCGAGATCCAAACTATATGATCTCTCCGAGTATCTGGATAAAACTGAGTTCAGATAATGAATTACATGAACTTTTCTTAGATTGCAAGGAAGGAGATAAAAGATTAAAAGAGTTAATTGTGAATCAAACAGAAAGACTGGAAGTTCCTACTAAAAATTTTTTTGCAAGTCTAAAAAAAATATGTTCTAATTTGGATCTTGATGAAGAATGTTTCACTAATCATGAAAATTGTGATGTAAATATTAAAGCAGAAAATTTCAATAATATTAATTTGAGGAGTTGTATTACCGGTTATTTAAGTAAAGTCTTTGGAGAAGTATTATCACTTCTTGATAGAGATGATTTAGTCGGATTTATATTTAATATTGAGAATCTGATGATTGAATTAATTCGGAATGATTCACAAAAACAGGAAAAACTTTATGAAGAAATTCACAAATTGGTTTTAGTTTCAGAAAAAGACTGTAAGATGATGAGCTTTTATGATATTAAAGATGATGATGTTCATGGTGGTTTTTCTCCTCTTTCTTCTGAGTTTGAATCTCACCTGAACTCTTCCCAGAGATCCAGCTTACTAATTATAAAAGGGTGTAATAAGCTACTTAGAAAGATTATCCATTGTCTATGTAATCATTACTGTGTAAATAGCAGATCAATCTCAGCACTTCTTAATGATAATTATAAAGGAAATAATGAAAAGATTATGATTTTATCTCCTCGAAAATCATCCATTACAATTACTCCTCCCCAGGTAAAAATAAGCACTTTATTGAAAATAAATCAGCTTTACTCAAAGAGGAAAATTATTTCTATGTCAAATTGACATTGAAAAAACAGTAATACTTACTCGTTATAACTTCTATATATCTATTGTATTAGATATTAGAACTAGATTCACACAACTTTAACTATTCAGTAATAAACAATCCTAGCTTCCCTTCCATTTGACCCCTATGCAGATTTACTAATTGAATTTAGAATTAAAAAAAGAAAAATGTATAAATTCATCAACAATCATTAAACTTCTACTAAACTCCTATGAAAATTTATACATTTAATCTAAATGTTTGGTTGTAGCACTAACTATCATTTGGATTATTGCTGAACCTATAACTACAAAAATGAATAGTCCTAAAACAAAAGGACCAACAGGATAACTGTTTTTCTTCTTAGAAGATGAAACATTTCCTCTCTTTTCAACATTTTTTTCATATAATTCACCCTTGAGTTTTGTAAATCTTGATTGTGCCTAAATAGCATGCAATTTAGTTAGCATTTCCCATTATTAATATTAAATTATTTATATTATGCACTATAGTATTACTAAGCCTCTTTAAGTGCATTATATATTAGTGAAAAACTTACCATTATTAAATCTTTAATTGCAATTAATCTTACTTGATACTAACTAAAAATAAAAAAAAGAAGAAAAGAATGCAATATATACTAGTTAAATTATTTGAATGTGAAATTTTACTTTCTATCTATTAATGTGTATTAAATACTAGATATTTAATCTATTATAATTAAAAATATTATTAATAATTATTTATCCCTCTTTCCCTCAATAAATATCTTTTAATTCTTATTTAATTTGCATATACTATTAATTACATTTAACCACTATATGTTATAAGTAATATCTCCCCTCCCCACCCTAACAACATTAATTATATTATATTTTCTAATTTCCCGCCTAAATTGCAAAATGGTTGGCGTCTGATATATATTTATTTTTTTGATCGTAATAAATAAATTTGATAGACGTGACTGTCTCGTCTTCAAATAGAAATTATTAATAGGCGAATGTAAATTGAATAGTAAAAAAGATAAAATAACGAAGACAGTTATATTTGTCAAAATTGAAGACAAAGTAAAAGTTTAATAAATAGTATAAAGTAAATTATGGTTTTGACAAATTAAATAGCACTCTATTAATTATTTAGGTAAATATATTTATATTATATTTAAATATATTAAGTATAAAAAAAACTAATTATTTAATAAACAGGACAAGACTAAATTTTTTTTTCTGTTTACATAATAATATTTTTCTATCTTGACAGGATCAGCCTGTTAATTTTTAATTCAATTTTTTAAGACTATAATTTAAAGGAAAGAAAAAGCCTCAAAAAGATTAATTAACAATGGGTATGAAATACGTCGCAGCTTACTTACTTTGTGTTTCCTCTGGAAAGGAACAACCAACTGCTAATGATATCAAGAAAGTTTTGGAATCAGTAGGTATCGAATTTGACCAATCTATTGTTGATGTCCTGATCTCCAACATGAGTGGAAAGCTCAGCCACGAAGTCATTGCTTCTGGTTTGTCTAAGCTCCAATCTGTTCCAACTGGTGGTGTTGCAGTTTCCGGTGGTGCAGCAGCAGCAGCATCTGGTGGTGCAGCAGCTGAATCTGCTCCAGCTGATAAGAAGAAGGAAGAGGAAGAGGAAGAAGAAGGTGACCTAGGTTTCTCATTGTTCGACTAATCTGAATAATTGGTAGTGTTATCATTACTAGTTTTGAAGGAGTATATAGAAAACTAACTTTCTTTATTACATCTCTACTTGATTGGTCCAACCTATTTTTTTTTTCTTGTAACCATTAAAGGTATTATTAGAAAGAATAGAACATCCTAGAATTTAGGTTGCTAATTGCTTGTATAATAGAAACTACACTTCTGTTTCTCCAACCCCCCCATCTATATTAGTTAAAGTTACAATGAAGCTTAACAGAATACGAAAAATCGGCTTCTTTAGAATAAGATTTAACTCCTAGCTTGAAAAGTGTTCTAATACCTACTATATTGTGAACTCAGACAACAGAAAATTATGTCTTGTTCATTTACATATTATATTAATAGGCTTGATTTAGTTAAAAAGAGCTTTCTTGGCTGCTGCTGCTGCTGCTGCTGCTTCCTTCATAGCAGCTTTTTTGCAAAATCGCTGGTTTTTCAAAAATTTAGCATTCATACCGAATGTTGGTAATTTCCTGTAGCTCTTTGCTTTCTTGATTCCGTTTCTGTGAGCTTTACGGTTCTATTTATTAGAAATTAAAGAGAAAAGTAAATTGTTCAATGCAATAATAAATCAAGGTTAACCTTACTTCAATGTTAAAGAGTCTAATTCTAAACAAAGAAAGGTACGATACCCTTGATATAATGAATTATTACTTACCTGATTGTGATTGGTATGGTTCTTTGACTTTGCCATCTTTGTTTTTGAAAAAAAAAGTTAAAATATGTGCCTTTATATTAATTAAATTAAAATATAATTAAGTCTTTCCGCTAAATTTTTTTTTTTGAAAATATATTAATTACAAAACTACTTTTTCTTTTTATTAATTATATAATATTACATTTTAGATCAAATAATAACTATTTATTTTAATTTAATAATTTCTATTATTTCCTTTCTAATACATACTATTAAAAGCTGTCTCGAGATTTCCCGCCCTTTCTAATACTTGTAATTGTCTTGCGGAATAAAATGAGAAGAACAAAATATTAACTAATAAAGAAAGATCAAATTGGTTTTCTTTTATTTAAAACCCGTTCTTTTGTTTTTTTTGAACTTTGCTCAATCTGAAGTTCTGGAATGCAACTCATGAGTAATAATAACACCTATCTGCTTTTTCCTTTCTATCAATTTTTCCTTTTTTTCTTTGTTTCAATCAGCTGTTCACAATGCAAGAATATATTTATTTGTGTTAGAATTTCTTTACTTTAAATTTCTCATCTAATATTAACTTCTTATCTCCACCTTCTAATGATAATATTTGTGAAAACATGATGGCGCCAAAATTTTGTCATGTCATGATTGAAGGAAAAATTGCATATAGAGATAATTGTAATCATTTTGGCGGTAAATCTGTTAAGTCATCTATAAGGAAGTAAGTGAAGGCTAAGAAAAAATACCTTATTTTGTAAATTTTAAAGGAGATTTATATTAAATTTAAGGCTGATTAGTTGCTGGAAAGCTATTGAATAACTAGACAGAAAATAAATAGTTAAATTACAATAAAAAGGTTGAAAACTCTAAACAGAGAGGAAAAAGTAATTAATACATATTATAAGTTTTTTGAGTGATAGAATATAGGTACAGTCTTGAGAGTGTCTTTATACATCAATGATTGATATTCCTACATGGACTAAAAGGTAAGTTAAAATTTTTTTTGTTGATCAATTATAAATTAACTAATAATTTAATATAAACATTAATTTACCTTTAAAAATTTATTAGATGGATTCAGATTAGTCAGTTAGACAACACAGAAATTGACCAGAAGAATGACGAAGATCTTCTTAAGAGATTTAATAAAAATATTAAAAAAGGACTTAAAGAAATTGAAGGCTTTACAGGATTCTTTCCAATTCAACAAAAAGTAATACCTTACATTTTAAATGGTATCAACTCAGATATTAACAATTACTATAGTAGTGATATTTGCATTTCAGTCCCAACTGGTGAAGGAAAGACTTTATGTTATGTGATTCCAATAGCAAATTACTTGTACAATAGAACTTTTCCGAGTTTATCAGTATTAGTATTAGTACCTACTAGAGAATTGGCAAATCAGGTTAAAAATGTATTCACAATTTTTACAAAAGTTAATAAAGGTAGATTCCCCATAAAAATCACAACTTTAACAGGACAACAATCATTTTCAAATGAGATGCACCAATTAAGTACAATACAACCAGATGTTGTAATATCAACTCCGGGAAGGCTTTGTGAGCATTATAACCAACTAATAATATCGCAAGATCAACAGGAAATTCCAGAAATATTTAGAAACATTCATTTTATAATAATAGATGAGGTTGATAGATTATTATCTCAACCATATAATGACTGGCTTTCTATAGTGAATGATATTTCAAAATATATTATATCTCAAGAAAACAATGGAGAATTAGGATTGGCTAAAAAAATTCCCATTAGAATTCTATTGTCAGCAACAATTTCCAATAGTCCATATAAATTAAACCAATTAGATTTAATACGTCCAATATACTTTATAACCTCCGTTACTGGAGAGTCAAATATACCATCTAGAATGTATCAAAGATATATTAAAGTTACAAATAAAAGATTTAAACCAGAAACTTTACTTTGTTTAATATATCAATTATTATTAAATAAGAAACAGAGAAATAGTCTTAGTAAATTGGTAGCAGAAAATCAAAAAGCTGATATTAAAGGAATTCCAAAAGTTTATAAAACCTACTTTAAAGCTGTTATTTTTTGTTCAAGTAAAGAAACTACTTCAAATCTCACCAAGTATTTACAACAAGAATTAAGTAAATCCAATAGAAATGACTTATTCTTTGTATTTAACAGTAATGATGAAACTAATAATCAAATTTCCTTTAATTTTGAAAATATTCATAACAGTAAAATTCTCATTCCTTTTAATACTATTAATCATTCAGAAACCAGTCAAAACTCTCAAGACAATCTTCAAACATTACAGATTGAAGAATTTTCAAGTTTATTGCTCCAAAAGGAAAGAAATCTACTTATGAAGAAATTTAATAATAATGAATTTAATATTCTTGTTTGTTCCGATATTTTAGCAAGAGGTATCGACATTTCTGATGTAGATATTGTTATTAACTATGATGTTCCTAATAATATTAAAACTTATATCCACAGAGCTGGAAGAACTGCAAGGGCTGGAAAAACTGGATATACTTATACTATGGTTGAAAGTAATCAAATTAGGCACTTTATTAAGTTGGTTAATTCTAAGTACAAAAATACACACAGACAAACCATGTTTGTTAGAATTAAGAAACAAACAAACAATGAAAATTAGTTGATGTTCAAAATTCTAGTAATACTTGAATTAAAAACATCCAAGTATACAACCAATCTTTTTTCTTTTATACCATCATTACTGACACTAATATTACTACTATTTTTAAAATACTAAAAATACAGTATTACTACAATTAGTAAACTATTACAATATCACTACTACTATTACTAATACTAGTACCACTACTAATGTTATTACTACTAAATATTACATATTAATACTTACAGTTTTACCGCCAATTATTTTACCATACATTTAATATATTATTATTATTTTGAGGAATTGATAGTTGTCTGGTGACTATCTTATACTCTATATTTTCTATTTATCTTACCTTCATTTATTCCATCTCATTATTTTTAAGTAAATCTTATATTTAAATTTCTTTTTCTAGGCCAATTACATTATGTCTAAACTGGACTAACAAATAGGGAGGGGTAATAAGGGAAGTGGGGAGAAGAAAGAAAAAAGTGATAATAATACAAATACAAGAGTAAGAATCATTAAATAAATGTGAAACAAAACAATTAATGTGATTAAAGACAGAACAATGTTTGTATTTATAAACACTATAAAAATCACAGACATTTAAAACCAAAAAAAAATGAATGCAATTAATCAGACCCAATGCAAAAAAAAAAACCCGCCACCCCCACAAAACTAATTTGTCTTTAATTAGATTGTAATAATTAAATTCTCGGATCTGAGGTTAGACAAAATTTCGAGCATATCATGTAGCGGAAGTGAAAATTGAAGATTTTTGTTATAAGTGTGATTGTATAAATATTCGTGAAATGGCATGGAGAAAGCTTTTGTAATAGTTAGATGAAAATAATACACAAATTTGATTGATTCTAGCTATTAAGACATGTTTCTACTGTGAACAAGTGTTGAATTATAAATTAATAAATTTTTATTAAGGAGAAATAATATATATTATTTGTACATATATTGGTATATATACATATATATTAATATTTTATGTATATATAAATATATATTGATATATTACATAGGTACTAAGAAAAATAGATATATTAGTAACAGTTTTAAATAGAATATATTACATAAATATCACTGCAACACATAATAATAATATAAAGAAGAATAAATGTATAATAAAACAGTCATCCATGAAGATGAATATGAAATCCATAATGATGTTTCTTCTTTATATCATGAGATTCATCAGCACTCCTCAAGGAAAATGCTTAAACAATTAAACAATTTAAAACAAGTTCGATTTGATAGTTCTCCTCCAGAGGTTTTCGAGTATGAGGCATTGGATCCTGAAAACCTTTTAAATGATAATTATTATCAAATAAATTTTAATAATAAAAGTCAAGGAATTTCTAATAATGATTCCTTTGATTTTTCTGAAATTGAAAATCATTCCAATATTTATGAAAATGAACTATCTAGAAGTGAAAATAATCCATTAACTTTGCCGATTCCAAATAGAAAAGAAATTTTCGAACTAGAAAATTATCCAAGTGATTTGAATCAAAATAACAATTTCCAAATAGTCGAACCACTTAAAGCTGAAGACATTCTTTCAATAGATGGTAAATTTATCCAAAAAACAAAATTATCCGATAAAATTTATGATAGCAGTTCAGAACAAGATTCTAAGTTTACACTACCTAATGATAATTGGATCAATCTCAAAGACATTCGACTGGAAATTGACAAGATTTCCGTGAATAAAGAATCAAATAATGGGTTTAGCAATAATATTATCTCCAAAGATCATCCGACAACTAGTGATCAATTCAATAATCCAGATTTCTTTGACATGCAATCGACAACGGAATCTTTGAGCTTTTTATAATTGATTCCTATTTGTTAATAATTTACTAATACTTGGCTTATCCTAATTATCATTCCAGATTTTTTCCTAAATATTAACTAGTCTTCACTATAATTTTTTTTCTTTAAGGTTCATTTTAATGCAATCATTTTCTTAGTTACATTTACTTCATTATTTCTTCTCAAATCAATTAACCAAAAATCATCTTGACTAATTTTTACCATCAAAAATACTATTATTATAACAACTAAAAATGGAAATAGTAACACTAAAAAATGAATAAAGCAAATATATTATATTAAAGAAATAAACCCTCCCCCCAAAAGTAATTTTTAAATTTTTCTTATTATTTGATCATAATCTGACCTATAGCCATGCATATATTCTGTAGCTTGGGCGCCAAAACACGTAATTATTACGTGTTTTGGCGGCAGCTACAATTAATAATAATAAATGAATGGTACACTCCATTATGGCCTATTTGATAATAAAAAATGTATGTATAACTATTTTTAAAATTTTACATGGGCTTATTTTAATTTTTATCTAGAGTAAGATATAGTAAGTTTGGAGTTTATTAGAAAAAATAAAGTAGATTTACAGAGTGAAATGGGTGGATATATCTATGTGTTTAAGTAACTGAATGTTTAATTTTACAATGTAAGTATTTGCTTTAAATCTGTGTAAAGAACACATTTGTAGTTTAAAGTTCTTCAAAATATGAACTTTGCCAAAAAAATTTTCTATTTTTTTTTTAAGACGCTGAAAGAAAGAAAGCATAGAAAATTTTGTTTTTCCTTATTTATATTTGAATAAAAATATTACTAAGTAAAATTAGAGATGGTTCTCCTATGTAATAACCTTTAAAATTTAATTTTGCACATTATCTAATGCAGGATTTCAAAAGTAGACTAATCCTTATATTAGTTTCAACTAGTTGCTAAAAACTTATACAAAACAGTAATATTAAGTTAAATGAATATTCTATTAACTTTTTTTTATTCATATAAGTTGTTTTTGAAAAACTATTATTTTATTCAAATCACAGCTATTTTTTCATACTGTTAAACAAATATTAATGAACAAAGTTACGTAATATAACTTTTTTATTTTTTAAATTTATCTTTTAAAAATTTTACTGTTTATTATAGGTCTCTGATCTATTTACATTAATATTATCTAAAATAAATGCTGACATTTAGTCCAAAGTAGACGGCGCGCGTAGATACCTAGATAGTGGAAAGCGTATGTCAAAAGTTTTGGCGGGATTTCTCCTAGATTACTTCTGGTAGAAAAGTCAAAAAAAAAAGAACGAGTTTGAGAAAGTTATAGGGGAACCTGAGGAGATTTAATATACTTAGCTCTTAGAAACAAGCAAAAGATATTGTCACAAATTAAAATGGCATATTAATTTGGCTATAGATTTGTATCTTTAAATAAATAAAAGTTTTAGATTGACTGAATTCTTGTCAAAATTTAACAATTAATCTATATTACGATTTTTTGAGAAAATAATGAATATTTACTAAAAATTTGGAATTTTTATTGGAAGAATATAAGTTTAGAGATTTGATATGAAATTCAATAATAAAAATATCGAATTTGCTGGGGGTAATACCCTATGGAGTAAGCTATTCTTTACTTGGTTATCACCTTGGATGTCAAGGTTTTTGGGGACTGGAGTTAATGCTGATGATCTTCCCCGTCTACCTGAAAATGATGATATTACATTATGGACATCTTATTTAGAAAGGGCAGTTAATCAAGAAGAAAGAATAAGTAAACTTAAAGGAAAAAGTTTAAGAATATATAAACCCTTACTTAAAGTTTTTTGGCTTCAATGTCTTACTGTTTTACTCCTAAAGATATTTTTTGATTTATTACAAACTTTAGCTACATTATCTTTAAGAAATTTTGTTGCAAGTTTAGAGCCTGATTCTACTTCTAATAATACCAATAATAATAACCACAAAAATAACTATTATATGGGTAGTATATTTATTGTTTTAACACTACTCAAAATTCTCGTAGAGACTCAATATAGCTATTGGTGTGGAAGGGTTAGCTTGCGTATACAAGCTTCATTAATATCCATGACTTTTAGAAGAGTAGTACATTGGAAAGCTTCTGCAATCTCTTTTGAAGAATCTGCCATTGGAAAATCTGCAAGAAAATCAATTATTCTACGTCATGCAGAATCTAGAGGAATCCAAGATAGTGAGGCTGTTGTATCATCAAACGTATTTAATCTAATTGTTGTAGATACTTTAGCTGTTGAGGGATTTCTCATTAATGCAATAGAGTGCTTTATCTTCCCTTTCAGGCTAATTATCGCATACTTTGTGCTTAAAGACTCACTTGGATCATCAACTACTATGTTTGGAATATTAACATTAATCGTATTTTTGGTTATTTCATTCACATGCCAAATCATTGCATCCACATATAAAGCACCTTTTATGTCAGCTAGAGACAAACGTATTGACAGATGCCATGAAGTACTTAGTGAAGTTAGAACATTACAAATGATGGGATATCAAAATATTGCTACAAGTAGAGTTATGAAATGCCGAACAGTTGAAATGAAAGCTAACAAAATTCGTAATACATTATCTCTAATTGGTAATTGGATTGGGTATCAAATGTCAGGGATTGCTCAACTTGTTCTATTTCTACTTGCAGTATATAAAGGGATTCATTACTCCAGAGAATATAATATTCCTTTAGTAATTCCTGCCTCTGTAGGTGTTACTACTCTCAAAGTATTATTTTCACTATTAGGACCTTGCAGAAACCTATCCATGTATTCTTTTGCCACCATTGAAGCACTCATTTCTTTTAATAGATTTCAGTCATTTATAAGATCAAGGCCTCTTGACCTCAGGCACTGTGACTCACATTCTATTACCTCTAATAATTTTTATGACTTCTCCCCAAATACAAAAAATACTTTCCCAGCTGAAAATGCATGCACACAAAATTCTGGCGCCAATTCTCTTGATCTTGCCAGAAATATTACTGCCCCTAGATTAATTACTTATTACAGAGAGAATACAAGTTCTCCAGAGTCTGCAGGACTTTTGTCCTCAAGAAATCAAACATCACCATCTATTTCTGATAAAGAAACTAATGGAGAAGGTTCTATTGGTCGTTTTGACAATACAAACTTGAATATCTACTCAAGATATACTAGTGAAAATAAAAGTAACAATTTTGTTAATTTACAGGATGTTACCAGCAAAGATGTTGTCATTATGAGAAATTCATCTTATACATGGAATAAGGATACTCGTAAAAGGAATAATAAGTACACAAATAATGGAAATAAAGAACATTATAATCAACATCATGGAAATTGTGAACTAAATACAGATACTGCTTTTAATCATTGTACTAATTCTGATGTGAGATTTAAATTAAAAAATGTCAATTTATCATTATCTCTAGGTGAAACTATTATTGTCGTTGGATCTCCTGGAAGTGGAAAAACTTCATTAATGAATGCAGTATTAGATGAAATTGTTCAGGAAAGTGGAGTAACATATGTTCAGCCAAGAGAGACTAAGAGCCCTATAGCTTATGCATCACAGATACCTTGGATTCCAAATGGTAGTATTAAAAATATCATTCTATTTGGTAGAACCCTTAACCAGCATAAATATGATATTATATTAGATTGTTGTCAGCTTCGTCAAGATTTTAAATCTTGGCAAGATGGAGATCTTAGAATTGTTGATGAAGGAGGATGTTCATTAAGTGGAGGCCAAAGAGCCAGGATTTGTTTGGCAAGAGCTTTATATTCACTTCCAGACTATCTTTTTTCAAATGACAAAGAGCCTTCTTCTTTATTAGAATCTAAAACACATTCTAAAAACTCTCATAATAATAACCACTACCATTACAATTTAAACAATAGCTTAACTTCCAATGATGAATCAATTTTGTATTTATTAGATGATATATTTATAAGCTTGGACCCTGGAGTAAGTAAAACTATTTTCAGAAGACTTTTTGGCCAAAATGGCCTTTTAAGAAAAGTTGCAACAATATTGTCTATTGATCATACAAACCTATCATTCTTAATGGGTACTAACAAGTTAATCAAAGATTTTAATCCCAAAATACTAGTTTTGGATGATGGATCCCCTCAATTCTTTGGAGGGTACCAGTCATACCTAACAGACTGGAGATGTGTACATTTAGACTTTAACCATAGAGAGCATGGGACACAATCTGAGGATTTTAGCCATGACGATGATGATCTACATATTCATTCTAAATTGGACGTTACTACAAATAATAATACAATTTACCTACCAATTAATCCTTCAACAAAGAATGAAACTTTAAGAAAAGTTATGGAAAAAGAGGGAAGAGTTACAGGAATGGTTTCAAAGGAAACCTATTTTTGGTACTTTTCTAAGCTTAAATGGAGTTGGACATTTGCATTATTCATATTATGTTGCTCAAAAACTCTATTTGATAAAGGTACCGATTATTATATGGGATCTTATACATCCAGAATTCCTCTCTCTGATGTTGAAAAGTCAATATATGAAGGCAAAAAGTTTGCATTTATTTATACTCTTCTAGCTATTATACAATTAGCTGTAAGCTCAATGGTTTTTATTGGAGAAGCAATATGTGGTATTAGAGCAGCAGAAGAAATTCATGATAATTTGCTAGTTGATGTATTAAATGCTCCCTTAAACTTTTTTGATTCTAATCCTGTTGGTAGAGTTCTTAGTAGATTCAGTACAGATTTACTTATGGTAGATAATATACCAGCAATGAAGATTGCCACAGTTTTGGTTGGAGCAATGAATGTTTTGTTTCAATGTGTTGTGGTTGTTTCAGCAGAACCTTCTGTAATCTTTTTATTTCCTTTGATTGGACTGGGTATCTATTATGCAGTTGCCAGATACTTTTCAAGATCTTCCCGTGAGCTTCAAAGAATGTGTCTTGTTTTGTATTCACCTCTTTGTGGGGTATTCTCTGAGGCAATGAGTGGGGGACCAATTATCAGAGCTTTTCGTGCTCAAGATCATTATATGTTACAAGGCACTGAAATTATTGACATGGTTCAAAGAGCTAAGTTTATGCAACTTTGTTCAAAAGAATGGTCTTCTCTTAGAACCCAACTTCTTACTTTTCCTTTAACTGCCATGTCATCAAACTTTTTCACTGCTTTAATCTCTGATTTCTTTTCTGCATCTTCAGATACCACTATAGTAAATCAAAAAATTATTAATACTGGTAAAAATGCAGGATCTGGACCAGGAGCTGGTATTGTTGGTATAGCGCTTTATTATTCAGAATCAATTGCCTCCAATATTGGTATGACAATTACATCATATGTTAATATGGAGAAGGAAATGATTTCAGTAGAGAGATTACATCAATATAACGAAATGTTGAATAGGGAGAAAATTCACAATTTACCATTTTCTTCTCCATGTGTGATTCAAAATATTATGAAATCTAATAGTAATGAGAAAATAATCAGAAAAGGTGTGAAAATTGAGGATTTAGAAGTCAGATATAGACGTCCAAACAGTAATCCAGCAGATGATCCTGATGAGATTTACTTCCCCCCTGCAATTAACAAGATGAATGCACATACTGGTCCAAATGAACATATTGGAGTAATTGGTAGAACTGGTAGTGGTAAATCCACATTCTTACAAGCAATTTTAGGTTTGGTTCCCATAACTAATGGGAGAGTATTTTTGGATGATATTCCAATTGATCAGATGGCTAATGAGGATAGAAATAAGTTAATAGGAATCCTTCCCCAAGTTCCTTTAATTCTTAAAGGGTGGACAGTTCAGAACTTTTTAGATCCCTATCAGAAATTCTCAAAAGATGATATTTGGAACGCTTTAAATTTATGTGGTTTATCAGGTTTAATAAGATCATTACCTGGTGGAAAAATGCTCGATGCTGTAATAGTTCCTGATAATAGTCCAGGTACTACATGCAATAGTAATAATGCAGATCATGCAAATAAAGCTAATCATAAATCTAAAACATCAGAATATATATATTCTCTTCATAACTCTGAAGAATTAGATGATGAAAGATATTTATCAGACTCTCAACTAAGATACCTTTCTTTAGCTAGATTAGTTTTATATGCTAAAGACTATAGATTAATTCTGGTAGATGAGCCTCCACCTGATGTACTCCAAGAAGAAACTACAGATTATGTTCCCATACACCAACTACTTAGACAATACTTCCCCCATTGTACAGTGTTTGTAGTTGCTCATCATGCAGCATCTTTACAAAACTGCAAAAAAGTATGGGTACTGGGTAAAGGAAGGATATTATTAGAAACTACTTTGAACTCAAATTTCTCTCAGGATAAGATGTTACAGCTATTTCAGACTGCAGAGACCGAATTAGAAGATTTTAAAACAATTAAGGAATAATTTCTTAGTTTTTTTGCCATGAAATCCTAAGCAAAAAAAAAGATTGATATTGAATTCAAAGTTGTATACTTATATATAATATTTATCATAGTGATAAAATGCGAATCTTTGTTGTTAATCGATCAAATACATTACAATTAGCATAACATTGTATTTATTCCATATATAGTTCACAGTTTCATAGTTACATGTTCATTTTCATCTCTAATTTTTTTTTTCCATTTTGTCCTATACCGGTTTCTTTTTTTTAAAAGGTACCCGATATGGCGCCTTTTTTAAGAGTCATAGTCTAATAAGGATTGATAAACTGAAAGAAGTCTAAAAAAAAAAAAGCGGAAAGAACTGAAATTACATGTGAATTAAAGAATATAAAGTTGTCTTTTGTGATTAAAGGACCAGTAATTGACATTTGGATTTTCCTTATTTATGTTATTATAAGCCATTTCAGCTTAGCATCTATTACTGGGTAAGAGAATCTGGAAAATTTGTAAGATTTTAATCGGAAAGAAATACTAAATTTTTGTATTAATTGATTAATCATTTCAGTGACTATCTAAAGGTTTTATACTTATTATAATGCAATATTTATTCATTTTGATTGATTAAATTAGTACTCACACAAAAAATATAGTTAAATATAAAGTCAAAGATGAAAGAGCCTTTAAATCAAAGAAATTTGATATACTGGAATAATGAGATTTTTCAGAAAACAAAGAAATTATTTCAGAAAGTTTCATTTTTTTGGGTAATTCCATATTTTAATGAAAAGATACTTTTTAAAAAGAAAACAATTTTGGAGTTGGAGGGAGAATATTTGGATGAGTATGTAAATAAGTCATATTATAATAATGAGAAGCTACTGAATGGTGGTTTAATTAAACCAACAGCACTTTTAAGGAGAATTATTCAAGTAAAATGGGAAATAATATTGGGAGTAATTTTGTTAAAGATAGGGAACATCTTTGTATCTTTTATATTTTCAAGTTATTTAAGTGGTTTTATGAAGTCTGAGACACCTAAAGAGCATTTAAAATTGGGAATAAAAACAATTATAGTTTATTTACTTCGTCTTATATTTGAATCTCAGAATAGATTTCATAGTGGAAAACTGGCTTTAGAGATTGAGTCTTTTCTATTAAGACTATCTTACTCAAGATTGGTTTTCTCTTTTAATCATAAAAAGAGAAAGAGTAATTTAAAAGATGGGAATGAAGGTAAAAATCAAATTTCAAATATAATGAATATAGTGTTGGCAGACTGTTCAAGCTTTCCAAATTTGATAACCTCAACTTTGGATTTACTTACATTTCCATTAAGATTTTTCTTGACTTGGGTATTATTAAAAGAACATGTTGGATCAGTAGCAATAAGCTCTGTGTTAGCATTTCTAATAGTTTTTTCTCTGGGATTTTTTCTTCAGATTATTGGATCTTTATTTAAAGCTCCTTTTATGAGGTATCGTGATATAAGGATATCAAAAACTCATGAAATGCTTAGACAAATTTCTCAAATACGGTTACTTGAACAGGAAAACTTGATTATGAATAAGATTTTTGAGATTAGAAAAAAGGAGACATTTTATAATAGGTTAAGACTAATACTTGTTCAGATCGGTACCTTTTTAGATTATCACGTACAGACTATTTCCCAGCTGGTTCTTTTTATATCTTACATATCAAAAGTAATTAATGATAATTCAAATCTTCAAAATGAGTCTCTCAAGAGTCTTGGGCCAACAGGAGTTACTGTTCTTAATATATTCTTCACAGTTTCATCTATTAGAGGGCTTCCTTCTAATATGATCGAAGGATTTATTTCATTGATTAGGTTCCAAAAATTTCTTAGAGACACAGAGAATGTTGTAAAAAGCTACAAAACTGAGTTTGAACATTGTAAAAACAATCAATTATTTAGTGAAGATGTTATTCTTGATTTTAAAGGACGTAAAGTTGTTGAATCAAATCATTCATTAATGAAGTTAGTAGAAATGGAAGAAAGGAAAGAAGATTTAAAGCTTTTAATTAAAGAGACAGATTCGAGAATGACTGCTACATATGAGTATTTTAAGGATTTATCAGTACAGGTTAGGAAGAAAGAAAAAGTCTTTATAATTGGAGAATCAGGATCTGGTAAGACTACATTAATTCAGGAAATACTATTAAATAGGGGCTTTCTATTTGATACACAAGATATAAATAGTTATTTCTATTATAACTATTATCTATTAAACAATCTTCCTATAGGATATGTTTCACAAATACCATGGATACCTTCTGGTACTATAAGATCAATAATACTATTTGGATCAGAATATGATGAAGATCATTACATGAAAATTATTGAATGCTGTAATTTAGTTACAGACTTTCAACAATGGAAAGAAGGAGATTTAAAACAGGTTGATGAGGGAGGAAACTCTTTAAGCAAAGGACAAAAAACCAGAATATGTATTGCAAGAACTCTTTACCGCTTTTTTTCAAAAACAAACTTAAACTTGGGATCAGAGTTTTGTCCTCTATTTATTTTTGATGATATATTTTGCAATTTGGACCATTCCGTCGCCAATAAACTATTTCACAATCTTTTTAATAGCAATGGAATACTCTCAAATTCTTCAGTAGTAATCACAATCGACCAAAATTCACTCTCTACTTTTCTTAAATACTCCTCTATCCTAGATTCAAGCTCCTCTTTCAGCCTATACCATTCATTTCGCTATATATTTATTGAAAATTTTAACTATTCACCAATATCTTTTAAAGTCCCTCAACAAGTTCTGATTAATAATGTTGAATCAATCTTAACAGATACTCGTGTTGAAACACTACTTAATAATCATAATATGATTTTCTCTCCCAAAAATCCTAATAATATAAACCCAACTTCTCTTTCCAGTATTTCTGATAGTTCTTATATTGTGGATTTGAATTCATCTTCAGAATTTTCCCGCCAAAATACAGAATCTGACAAATTTATTTCTAATAATAATTCCTGCATAATTAATTCCTTTAATGAGAAAGTTACTAACAAAGGTTACATTTCTCTAAAAAACTATAATTGGTATCTGTCAAAGGTTGGTAAACCAATCATTATTCTCCTTATAACTTTATTATTTTCAAAATCCACTTTTGAAAGATTAAGTGAATTACTTTTTACTGGAAATTCTACACATGCACACACACTTAAAAAATTCCTTTTATTATATTCTCTATCTACTAGTCTTAGTCTGATTTGTGGCGGGCTAGCTTTTTTTTTAGAGGCAATTGCATGTACTTTTGGCGCCAATGAAATTTATAAAAGTATATTTGACTTGTTATTAATAAAGGTACCGAATATAATACCAATACATATAATGTTGAATAGAATTGGGGGAGACATGTTAATAATAGATACATGTATAGTGAAATCAATTATTTCTGGTTTGGCACCAGTATTAACAATAATAGGCCAGACAGTGTTTATAATATACACATTTCCTTATTTTACTCCATTTTTTTTAGTATGGATAATGGTAATCATAAAACCAATATGTTTCAAGTTTATCTCGTCTTACAGGGAATATCAGAGGTTTTCTATATCTCTTTTTTCGTCTATATGTGGAATATTTTCTGGAACACAACTCGGGGGTTCAACTATTACAATGCTTAAAAAGCAAGAAGTACTTAGAAGCCAAGCTAACGAAAGTATTGATTTGTATATTAAAGTCAGGTATATTCAGCTTGCTTCAACTCAATGGGCAGGATTTTGGATGAATATGGCAATGACTCCTGTCGGGATTATTTTAAATATTTTATTAACCCAATTGGGATTTGAAAGTAAATCAAGTTCTGCATTTATTTGTATATATTATTTCCTATCTATAGCTGAGTCTATTTCATCTCTCATGTATAAGTTTGTTCAATTGGAGAAAGAAATGTGTTCAGTGGAAAGGATAAAAAATTATATTGAAACTTTTACAATGTTAAATGAACATATACTTATGAATGAGAAAAATCACATTCAGGATTATAGGAGTGGATGTTATACTCCCCTTGCAATTAATTCTAAAGATAGTGATACATTTACTATTATTCCTATTTTTGAAGAAGATCATATTATTGATGGTCCAAATAATAAAGGATTAATTATCAAAGATTTGCAAATTTCTACATTAAATAATTTTTCTATTGGAAAAGAATTTAACCAAGAATCTGTAAATGATTTAAAATTTGAGACTTTATTAACAATTAATGGTACTTTAAGGGCATATCCAGGTAATGTAATTGGTATTATTGGAAGAACAGGATCTGGAAAATCATCTTTAATTAACTCAATTATGGGTTTACATTTACAAAACAGGGGAGTTATTTTATTAAACAATATTGATATAAGAATAATTAAAAAGAAGAATCAAATCATTGGGTTACTTCCTCAAGAAAGTCTTATAATAAGTGGTGCAACAATCAGATCACTATTAGATCCTTTTACTGAATATAGTGATTATCTTATTTTAAGAGCTTTAAAAAAAACTAAATTGTTAGGTTTTATTCAATCACTTCCTTTAAAGCTAGAAACCATTATCATTTCTCAAGATTCTAATGAATTAAGTACATATTCAATTCAAAGTGAATCAAATAATACCACAATAAGATTATCCAATTCTCAAATTAGATACTTATCTTTTATTCAATTCGTTATATCTCCATTAAGATATCAATTATTACTTATTGATGAACCTCCACAAAATGTTACTTTTTCATATAAAGATAATGTATTTGAAACAACTTCAATTCATAATATCATTAATTCCACATTTAAACATTGTCCTTCTTTAATTATTACTCATGATATAAACATATTTAACAATTGTGACATTTTTTGGATAATCAAAAATGGCCAACTCAACAAAGTTATACATAAACAATTTAAAGATTTTTCCAATTATATTTTGAAAGAATTAATTTAAAGTAAACAAATATCATTATTTATTACTTTTATAATTCCAATAATTAACCAATTCTGTAAATCATTTTGTTTCATGCAATTCTAATTCCTATACAATTTATGTTAGTTTAATTACTGGCCATTATTTAAATAATATAATAATAATAATAATAATAGTATTAACAATATTTATTTTTACCCTAAAGCTTACTTCTTATTACACTTCCTTGATATTTATATATTATTTTTCTTTTTCCATGTTTCTTCACATTTTATTTGATCCTTAAAATCTTATCTAAATTAATATTTTTATTGCAATTTATTGGTCCATTTTTACATTTTACTCTCCCATTGATAATAATTAAAATAATACATATTAATTCCGGTACCCGGATTGGCGCGCGCGCCAAACGACGGTTAAGTCATTAGTATAATTAATAGGGCAAATATATACTTAAATGGATGGCGTCCCGTGTCAGTGTCTGATATCAATCAAGTAAATAATATGTCTGGTATTGGCCTCCATAATATTATTCTTTAAATTGAAGATTGAAAAAAAAATTTCTGGACTTTAAAGTTTACAGGAAATTGAGGTTTAAATCTCAAACTCCTCATAGAGTTGATTATAATGGGGCTCAGGTCATACTTGACAAAAATATGGAATATTTCTGCTTTTGGATTTATTAATCCATATCTTCTAAATAGTAAGAACCCCAGAATAACTTCTATAAATGATCTTCCTGAGCTATTTGAAGTTGATAAACTTGATCATTGGGTAGAAAAACTTTCATTAGCTATAGAAGATGAAGAAAAAAAGTCAATGTATAGAAATGAGAGATTTAGAATTCATAGACCTCTTATTAAAACACTTTGGAAACCAACACTTGAAGCTATTTTTCTCAGATTATGTTTTGATATATTGGCACTTCTTTCATCCATTTTTTTATCATATTTTTCAGAATCTTCATCTATAACTAATACCATGATTTCTTCATTATATATTTTTTTAACTGTAATATTTAAATCATTTTTTGATTGTCATTCCAGAATAATTGTATCCAGACTTTGTATCAGAATTGAAGGTTCTCTTATTTGGGTTGCATTAGATAGAGTTGTTAGACATAAAGAAATGTATCCAGAATTACCATTATCAACCACTTATATGACAGAATCATCAAAAAAACCTTCATCTTGTAGAAAATCTCTTTTATTAAGACAAAATGAAGTCAAGTTTTCTAATAGTAATGCTGCTAGCGAATCATCTAATATATTTAATTTAATCATTGGTGATGCTGCTGCTATTGAATTATTTTTTGGTGTATTTGTTGATTTCTTACTATTACCAATAAGATTACTTATGTCATGGTATGTATTATCAAAAGTACTTAAAAGTTCATCAGCATTACCTACTTTATTATCATTCTGTATTATGCTTGGTTTAAGCTTTTTATTTGAAATTATTGGTGCATTTAATAAAGAACCATTTATGATTAATAGAGATAAAAGAATTGATAGATGCCATGAAATTCTTAGTGATATGAGATTTGTCAGACTTACTGGTTTGGAAGATGTTGCTATTTCTAGAATTACCAAATCTAGAGAAGAAGAGTTATATTGGAATAAAAAACGATTTATTTATAGTAGAATTGCAGCTTTTATTGATTATCATTTAAAAGTTTATTCACAATATATACTTTTTATGTTATCAACCTATTATTTATTCTATTATTCAAATAATAATAGTAAAGATAACTTTTTACGTAATGGTGCTTCAGCTCTTCAAATACTTATGCAACTTTCATCCAAAATTAGAAGTCTTCCAACAAATATTATTGAAGGTATTATTTCCATTCAAAGATATGAAAATTTTATTATTACACACCCAATTGAAAGAAGAAGATCATCCAGTGATATTATTAAACCTATTAATAATCATAGCTTATTGAAAATGAAATATAATTACAATAATAATATTATTGAAAGAATGAATAGTAATGATGATAATAATATGACCAATAATAACTTCTCAGAATTAAATGATAGAATTTGTTCAAATAGTTCAGTATCGGTATCTGAGTCTGCATTAATATCAGCATCATCAATTGTTTCAAAATATATAAATATTTCAGAAACTACTTCTCTTATTGGAGGTGATTCTTATTATAATAAAGAAGATGAATTATCTTATATACCAGATAGATATAATACAAAATCCAATTCCAATATAACCAATAATAAATTTCCTTCTAATTTAATGGTTCTTATTGAGGATGGTATATTTACTTGGAATAGTGAACTTCATAATGATTCATTTACAAATACTACTTTGAGAAATATTAATATATCATTAAGATTGAGAGAATGTATTTTCTTAGTAGGAGAACCTGGTTGTGGAAAATCTTCTCTTATTAAAGCAGTACTTAATGAAATTAGACCATCAGCTTCAAGTATTTATGTTAAACCAAGAGAAACAAATTCTATTATTTCTTATTCACCACAACTTCCATGGATTCCTAGTGGGAGTATTAGATCAGCTATTTTACTTGGAAGAGAATGGAATCGTGAAAAATATGAATTGATTATTGATTGTTGTCAACTTAAAGAAGATTTTTCATCATGGCAACTTGGGGATCTAAGAATTGTTGATGAAGGAGGTGTTTCTTTAAGTGGTGGACAAAGAGCAAGAATATCTTTGGCTAGAGCTTTATATTCTCTTCCAATAAGATTTTCAACATTTTCAAAAAATAAATTCTTTATTGATGCTGAAAATCCTCAAAAATTTGAATCATTACTTTATTTATTTGATGATGTTTTTGTCAGTGTTGATCCTAAAGTAGGATTCCAAATATTTAATCGATTATTCGGACCAAATGGACTCTTATTAACCGTTTCTTCTATTGTTACAATCAGTATTGATAGTCTTCATCATTATATGGCCAATATTCAATACCTATATAATAACAATAGTTCAAATATTTTTAATGATAATGCAACTCCAGATGATAATAAGGATATAAATGATTTAGATTCAAATCAATCAAATATTAATTCAAGTTGCAAATTAAAAGAATCTAGAAAATCTTTTATATCGACCAATCCTAATCCATTGTATAATAATTCATCAGTAAACTCAACTTCATCTTATCAAGACTATAATTTCAATTTTGATGGATTCAAATTTAATGTATGCGTATTAAATGATGGTAAAGTAGAATGGAGTGGGTCTTATTCTGATTACCTTAAAGAAACCAGGCATAAATTATTTGACCAAGAATTAGTAGGTGATAATTTGGTATTAAATACATCATACTTTAAAAGCTTAGAATTAGAATCATTAAATTTAAATGATGATTCAAATAATACTGATAACCAATTTACAGAATTATTAAATTCCGAAGGAGGTAACTGTAAAAATAAAGATAATTATATAAATCATAGGTTTTCATTTTCATCTTATAATTGGTACTTTAAATTAATCGGATCAAAATGGATGATTGTATTTATTTTTGGATGTGTAATGAAGGTTATTATTGATAAGATACTTGAACTATTATATGTTAATAAATCTGATAAGATTCAAATCACAGAATCATATGTTTATAGATTCTGTTTTAATGCTACTTTGGCAGTTTTAATTGAGAGTATTATTAGTTTAATTATATATATTGGAGAAGCTATTGGAGGCATTGAAGCTGCAAAAAAATCCCATGAAATTTTTCTTTATAAGATTGTATACGCACCTTTCTGGTTCTTTTATGTTAATTCTGTTGGTAAGATATTAAGTAGATTCAGTTCTGATATGCTTGCTATTGATAATTGTACAATAAGAAGAATCACAGCGGTTATTTTACCATTAATCTCACTATTATTTAATGTATCATATGTATCATTTATGGTTCCAATTACATTACCTTTTGAGATTATTTTAATAATATTTACTATAAAGTATATTGGGGATAAACTCTTGTTAACTTATAGAGATGCTCAAAGATGTGCTTTATTAGCTCTTTCTCCATTATGTAGTATCTTTTCTGAATGTTTGAGTGGTGGAACAATTATAAGAGCTTTTGATGCAGAGAAGGTTTATTTAAACAAATGTGCAAGCTTTATTGAGAAACTTCAAAGAGCAAGATTTCTTCAGCATTGTGCATGCCAATGGGCAGGATTACATATGCAGCTTTTAACAGCCCCTTTAACATTAATAGTGTCAATAATTGGTATAATATCTCCATCATATAATCTTACTTTGGCTTTGCCTTTAACTTATACCATAAGTTTTGCTGAAAGTATTAATGAGATAATTTTCAGGTTAATTAGTTTAGAAAAAGATATGTGTTCAGTTGGTCGTATTTACGAATATATAAATTTGATTGATGAAGATAGTAAAGCTCACCCACAGATAATATTAGAAGATTTTGCTATACCTGATACAAGACAAGGTATCTTAATATCAGATTTAGAAGTCAGATATCGTCGTCCAAATTATAAATTAAATGATTCCAAGGGCAAAGAATTAGTTGATTCGTCAACAAAAACTCAATCTTATTCGAATGATGTTTTTTCAAACTTGGATAATATGTATTTCCCTCCGACTTTAAAAAATATTAATGAATTCGCTGGTCCAAATGATCATATTGGAATAGTAGGTAGATCAGGCAGTGGAAAGTCGACCTTTATTATGGCACTTTTTGGATTTGTACCAACAACAAAAGGATATATTTATTTGGATGGAGTGCCTATAAACCAAATGCCATCATCAACAAAAAGAAAGATTGTTGGTGTTCTTCCTCAAGTACCATTGATTTTAAAAGGTTGGACAGTTCGTGATTTTCTTGATCCTGAAGGTCAAAGATCTTCAGAAGATTTATGGGAAGCTTTACGTATTTGTTGTTTATCAGGAACAATAAGATCATTACCTGGAGGAAAAATGTTAGATACGGTTTTGGTTCCAGACATAAAAATAACTTCATCAACCGTTGAAAATAGTATCCATAATAAGAATAATATCATCATGAACAATAAGAAGAACACAAACATTTCTTGTCGTGATGATTGCCAAGAATCCATAACAAGTTTAGTTGCAAGATATTTATCAGACTCTCAGCTTAGGTATTTATCTCTAGCAAGACTTGTTGTAAATGCGAGAGACTATAGATTAATTCTTGTGGATGAACCACCTCCAGATACTTTTGAAGACCAGACAAGTGCAAAGTCTTATGTACCAGTTCATGAATTGTTAAGAACATACTTCCCACATTGTACAGTTTTTGTAGTAGCTCATCATGCAGCTTCACTCCAGAATTGTAATTCAATTTGGGTGCTTGGTAATGGTACTATAGAGACAGTAATACATCCAAAAGCAGTTGTTAGTCAGAAATATCTTGCTGGATTACTGAAGAATAATTGATTTACTTTTTATGTTTTACTTAATATACATTAATTATAAAGGTAAAAATATTAATACTTTTCCAGTTAGCATACACTTACTTATAAGCGGTTAGTTGAATCATTTGAATTGTTTTGTTAATTTGATTTCGTAATCATAATTTAATGTTTCTTTGAATTTGTTTTTGTCATTCTTCTACTAACTTTGATCTTCTACCACTTTTCTGACGTGTATTATAAATATTACATGTAGCGCCAAAATGGTCTGCATTACCAGCAATTCTGGCGGTAACTTTGTGATGATGAAAATAATATATAATATATAGTACATTATATATGTAAATAAAATACGTAATAATTATATATATATTAATATATATATATATATA